CTCGGTCAAAACAAGACGCACAGCCAAAATAACGACTGTTTTATGCTGCTAACGACCAATACTAACCACCCCTATCACTCGCTTTTCGATTTTGGGAAAGTCGATTTTGGCCCAAATTTCGCATTTTTGATAAGATACCATCATCAAAATTTTCAAAAATGGGCCAAAAATGAAGTTTCCCAGATTTGAATGCAAACCAATTGGGAATCATGGCAATCAAGTTACGAGCCCTACGAGGTATTACATTTCTCATTTGGACCATTTTTGGCTGTTCTATGGCCAAAAAACGGATTTTTTTTCCGCACAAAATCAAGTATACGTCTTCTGACCGCAGAGATTCCGGATTTGTTGCAGTCAGCTTTAACTTTTCTTAGCTTTAACTTTGCCAAAACAAGACGCAAGGCTACAGTTACAGTTACAGTTTTATGCAGCTAACAACCAAATCTTCACTTCCCTATACCTACTTTTAACATTATTGCTCTGCACTTTTGCTGCGAGTGCTGATTTAATGGCTAAAAAATCAAAATGCCATATTTTATGCGGGTTTTTAGCTCTAGCTCGGTCAAAACAAGACGCACAGCCAAAATAACGACTGTTTTATGCTGCTAACGACCAATACTAACCACCCCCATCACTCGCTTTTCGATTTTGGGAAAGTCGATTTTGGCCCAAATTTCGCATTTTTGATAAGGGGTACCATCATCAAAATTTTCAAAAATGGGCCAAAAAGGAAGTTTCCCAGATTTGAATGCAAACCAATTGGGAATCATGGCAATCAAGTTACGAGCCCTACGAGGTATTACATTTCTCATTTGGACCATTTTTGGCTGTTCTATGGCCAAAAAACTGATTTTTTTCCGCCCAAAATCAAGTATACGTCTTCTGACTAGAGAGATTCCGGATTTGTTGCAGTCTCTTAGCTTTAACTTTGCCAAAACAAGACGCAAGGCTAAAACGGTTACAGTTTTATGCAGCTAACAACCAAATCTTCACTTCCCTATACCTTCTTTTAACATTATTGCTCTGCACTTTTGCTGCGAGTGCTGATTTAATGGCTAAAAAATCAAAATGCTATATTTTATGCGGGTTTTTAGCTCTAGCTCGGTCAAAACAAGACGCACAGCCAAAATAACGACTGTTTTATGCTGCTAACGACCAATACTAACCACCCCCATCACTCGCTTTTCGATTTTGGGAAAGTCGATTTTGGCCCAAATTTCGCATTTTTGATAAGGGTACCATCATCAAAATTTTAAAAAATGGGCCAAAAATGAAGTTTCCCAGATTTGAATGCGAACCAATTGGGAATCATAGCAATCAAGTTACGAGCCCTACGAGGTATTACAATCCTCATTTGGACCATTTTTGGCTGTGCTATGACCAAAAAACTGATTTTTTTCCGCCCAAAATCAAGTATACGTCTTCTGACTAGAGAGATTCCGGATTTGTTGCAGTCTCTTAGCTCTAACTTTGCCAAAACAAGACGCATGGCTAAAACGGTTACAGTTTTATGCAGCTAACAACCAAATCTTCACTTCCCTATACCTACTTTTAACATTATTGTTCTGCGCTTTTGCTGCGAGTGCTGATTTAATGGCTAAAAAATCAAAATGCCATATTTTATGCGGGTTTTTAGCTCCAGCTCAGCCAAAACAAGACGCAGAACCAAAAGAACGATTGTTTTGTGCTACTAACGATCAGCACTTACCACCCCTATCACTCGTTTTTCGATTTTGGGAAAGTCAATTTTGGCCCAAATTTCTCAAGACGCAAGGCTAAAACGGTTACAGTTTTATGCAGCTAACTACCAAATCTTCACTTCCCTATACCTACTTTTAACATTATTGCTCTGCACTTTTGCTGCGAGTGCTGATTTAATGGCTAAAAAATAAAAATGCCATATTTTATGCGGGTTTTTAGCTCTAGCTCAGCCAAAACAAGACGCAGAACCAAAAGAACGATTGTTTTGTGCTGCTAACGATCAGCACTTACCACCCCTATCACTCGCTTTTCGATTTTGGGAAAGTCAATTTTGGCCCAAATTTCGCATTTTTGATAAGGGGTACCATCATCAAAATTTTCAAAAATGGGCCAAAAATGAAGTTTCCCAGATTTGAATGCAAACCAATTGGGAATCATGGCAATCAAGTTACGAGCCCTACGAGGTATTACATTTCTCATTTGGACCATTTTTGGCTGTTCTATGGCCAAAAAACTGATTTTTTTTCCGCCCAAAATCAAGTATACGTCTTCTGACTGCAGAGATTCCGGATTTGTTGCAGTCTCTTAGCTTTAACTTTGCCAAAACAAGACGCATGGCTAAAACGGTTACAGTTCTATGCAGCTAACAACCAAATCTTCACTTCCCTATACCTACTTTTAACATTATTGCTCTGCACTTTTGCTGCGAGTGCTGATTTAATGGCTAAAAAATCAAAATGCCATATTTTATGCGGGTTTTTAGCTCCAGCTCAGCCAAAACAAGACGCAGAACCAAAAGAACGATTGTTTTGTGCTGCTAACGATCAGCACTTACCACCCCTATCACTCGCTTTTCGATTTTGGGAAAGTCAATTTTGGCCCAAATTTCGCATTTTTGATAATCATCATCAAAATTTTCAAAAATGGGCCAAAAATGAAGTTTCCCAGATTTGAATGCAAACCAATTGGGAATCATGGCAATCAAGTTACGAGCCCTACGAGGTATTACATTTCTCATTTGGACCATTTTTGGCTGTTCTATGGCCAAAAAACTGATTTTTTTCCGCCCAAAATCAAGTATACGTCTTCTGACTGCAGAGATTCCGGATTTGTTGCAGTCTCTTAGCTTTAACTTTGCCAAAACAAGACGCATGGCTAAAACGGTTACAGTTCTATGCAGCTAACAACCAAATCTTCACTTCCCTATACCTACTTTTAACATTATTGCTCTGCACTTTTGCTGCGAGTGCTGATTTAATGGCTAAAAAATCAAAATGCCATATTTTATGCGGGTTTTTAGCTCCAGCTCAGCCAAAACAAGACGCAGAACCAAAAGAACGATTGTTTTGTGCTACTAACGATCAGCACTTACCACCCCTATCACTCGTTTTTCGATTTTGGGAAAGTCAATTTTGGCCCAAATTTCTCAAGACGCAAGGCTAAAACGGTTACAGTTTTATGCAGCTAACAACCAAATCTTCACTTCCCTATACCTACTTTTAACATTATTGCTCTGCACTTTTGCTGCGAGTGCTGATTTAATGGCTAAAAAATCAAAATGCCATATTTTATGCGGGTTTTTAGCTCCAGCTCAGCTAAAACAAGACGCAGAACCAAAAGAACGATTGTTTTGTGCTGCTAACGATCAGCACTTACCACCCCTATAACTCGTTTTTCGATTTTGGGAAAGTCAGTTTTGGCCCAAATTTCTTAAGACGCAAGGCTAAAACGGTTACAGTTTTATGCAGCTAACAACCAAATCTTCACTTCCCTATACCTACTTTTAACATTATTGCTCTGCACTTTTGCTGCGAGTGCTGATTTAATGGCTAAAAAATAAAAATGCCATATTTTATGCGGGTTTTTAGCTCTAGCTCAGCCAAAACAAGACGCAGAACCAAAAGAACGATTGTTTTGTGCTGCTAACGATCAGCACTTACCACCCCTATCACTCGTTTTTCGATTTTGGGATAGTCAATTTTGGCCCAAATTTCTCAAGACGCAAGGCTAAAACGGTTACAGTTTTATGCAGCTAACAACCAAATCTTCACTTCCCTATACCTACTTTTAACATTATTGCTCTGCACTTTTGCTGCGAGTGCTGATTTAATGGCAAAAAAATTAAAATGCCATATTTTATGCGGGTTTTTAGCTCCAGCTCAGCTAAAACAAGACGCAGAACCAAAAGAACGATTGTTTTGTGCTGCTAACGATCAGCACATACCACCCCTATCACCCGTTTTTCGATTTTGAGAAAGTCAATTTGGGCCCAAATTTCGCATTTTTTTCCATCAAAATTTCCAAAATGGGCCAAAAATGAAGTTTCCCAGATTTGAATGCGAATCAATTGGGAATCATAGCAATCAAGTAACGAGCCCTACGAAGTATCACAATCCTCAGTTGGACCATTTTTGGCTGTGCTATGACGAATTAACTGTTTTTTTCCGCCAAAAATCGAGTATACGTCTTTTAGCAGCAGAATTTCCGGTTTTGTTGCAGTCTCTTAGCTCTAACTTTGTCAAAACAAGACGCACGGCTACAGCGGTGACTGTTTTGTACTGCTAACAACCAAAACTTTACTTCCCTATACCTTCTTTTAACAGTATTGCTCTGCACTTTAATTGCGAGTGCTGATTTAATGGCTAAACAAGAGGAAACGCTATAGTCGAGTGCCGCGACTATAAGATACCCGTTACTGTTTTACAGAGTTTTAAAATATTCATTTTGCTAGTGGAAATTCCCCAAGCGCCACCTATTGTCGGAGAAAGCATGTTGAGTAATTGATAGTGACGTCACAAGCCATGTGAGGCCTTAAAACCTAAATTTCTTCATAAGTAGCGAAATAATGTTCCAATTTGATAATCGATAGATATTAACAGAAATAAATTATACAAGGTCAAACGAAGGCATTAATAATATAATTCAGGTTTTCATTATATCAGGTTTTCTTGAAAATGTTTGGTGGGCGTATGGGTGGGTGTGGCCGGATAATAGATGCGCTGGCATCCAAAGTGAATTTCAAATTTCTAGCTCTAATAGTTCCCGAGATCTCAGCGTTCATACGGACGGGCAGACGGACGGACGGACGGACAGACGGACAGACGGACATGGCTCAATCGTGTTCGCTATTGAACCTGATCAAGAATATATATGCTTTATAGGGTCGGAAACGCTTCCTTCTATCTGTTACATAGTTTTCAACGAATCTAGTATACCCTTTTACTCTACGAGTAACGAGTATAAAAACTATTTTTTAATATGTTTTTTTTTATTTGTTAACGTTTTTACTTTTATTTCAGAACCAAGGTTGTACTTTGGTAGCTGCCGTCGACCTGAAAAGGGCGAGTGCCGACTAAAAGAGGATTGCCTTGAGGAACAAGGTTTTGTACAGGCCCAGGATTCTTCAGAATGCTTCAATACGGTTTGCTGTTTTAAGAGCAGCACAGTATACCCGCAATCAGTTAAAAATTACTGCGACCGCGATCTGAGGCCCCATATATCTAATGGAGAGGTCACCAAAATCCGGGAATTCCCCTGGATGGCCATGTTGCTGTACGGAGAACGACTTCTGCCCAAGTGCGGGGGTTCCCTGGTGGCCAAAAAGTGGGTTTTAACCGCAGCACATTGTGTTCCAAGAGAGGATCATGAGGATCAGCTACGTATTGTTCGTCTAGGAGTGTGGGATACACGGCTAACACAGAGTTGTCAGGGTCCGGACTGCACCCCGCCTCCTCAGGACTTTAACATTGAAAAGGCAATTGTTCACGATATGTACCAGCCCTCTGAGAGTTCGGGGACCACTCTGGAAAAACACTCTAATGACATTGCCTTGCTCCTTCTTGAACAGAATGTAACTTTCACAGAGTTTATTCAGCCCATATGCCTGCCCTCAGTTTACAATCCCTCGCGAAATGATGGTTATGTTGACTTTAGCCTGACGATTGCCGGATGGGGTCATACCAGTGAGTCATCATTGGATACCAGTCCCGTGAAGATTAAGGCTAAGGTTAATGGCTGGTCCATGGACAGCTGTAAGAGGCAATATGAGAGAGTAAGTCCGGGTCAGATGTGCGCTGGTGGCGGTGCCTCAAGGAAGGGCAGTTGCTTCGGCGACTCTGGTGGCCCAGTGATGGATGACAACCAGCTGGTCGGTATCGTCTCCCTTGGGGAGCCCAGGTGTGGATCCGACCGCGGACCCATGGTCGTCACACGAGTGGACTCTTATGCAGAATGGCTGGACCACAACTTGCATTCTCACAATGTTCTTGGACCACAACAAAACCGAAGCAAACGCGCGTATTTATTTAACATTTTTTTGCATAATGTTTTAGCCTGAGATAATGCGGTATAGATGTTGTACAAGTATCAAAAAACACTGAAATCAATAATAAATTTAATTTAGTGTTTAAAATTATTTTTTCATTTAAATAAATTTAACATAGCTATTTTTAATGTCTTATTAGAAGGCACAACTAGGCAGCTATACACTAGGGAGTATTTTTGCAGAATCAATTTTGAGAAATAAACAAAAATCTGGAATAAATTGCACTAAATATGTTTTCGAATTCTGACTGAAACGTCTTAATGCCTTTAAATGCCAATCACTGTTCTCAAAATTCTCAACTAAATTGATAAGAAGTTGAACTAATATATTAACTAAAAAACCCAATGTATTGACGGGCTTTTATACCTTAGACTATATTAGTTATAGACATGGGTGGAGTCTAAAAACTGTGAGTAACGGGGAAAAAACTTAAAACATTTGTGGGAATTTTTAAGCGATGCGATAAATGTTTTCTAAACTGATCTAGTAGATATCAATAAAATAAATTTAAATAATGGTCCTTAGAAAACAAGTTTTGGCACATTTGTATATATAAATTCGTAACAAGTAAATTTATTGAGCTCCTAAAAAATTAAACATACATAGTTCAATTTTAAGTATTTCCCTAGATAAAGATTTGGGCTACGGCTTTTTTGAAATTAATTTTATTATAAAATTATGACAATGGTTCTGACTATAATACAAACGTGCACCTGAAATCAGGTTTTGCTAGTCACTACATTTGCAATGCGAAAAGCTTGAAAATTACACTTGGGAAATGCCCTCTCCGCTTCAGAATGCTGATAAGCCACTCAATCGACTCAGATTAAAAACTATGGTTCTTCGATCCGGAACCTTCGCCTTTTCCCTCTGTGGGTTGTTATGGACCAGCAATTGGGTAGGTAAGTTTCTTTTACAACGGAATTGCACCTGGAAAAGTTATAAATGGTTTGGAAAATCAATTACATATATTTAAGTTCGTTTAATATATCACTAGAGAAGAAGTTCAATAAGATAAAAATTTTTTGTTTTTACAAATATTTAACAAAATATAAATTATTACGCAATTTGTAAGGGGAGGAGTGCCTGGAGCAGGACGGGTTCTTCCCAGCCAGTGACTCATCTCGAGCATGCTTCAATGTGGTCTGTTGCATAAAGAGTCGTCCAGCATATCCGCAATCGGACGAGAATTACATTCATCGCGGTCCAATACCCGAAATATACAATGGCAAGATGACCAAAAGACCCAAAATATCCAATGGCGATATCACCAAAATCCGGGAATTCCCCTGGATGGCCATGTTACTGTATGGAGATCCCCTTCTGCCCAAGTGCGGTGGCTCCCTGGAGGGCAAGAAATGGGTACTGACCGTGGCCCATTGTTTTCCAAGCGAGGATTACGGCGATCAACTTCGTATTGTTCGTCTGGGAGTATGACTGCGCTCCGCCCTCTGAGGACTTTCCCATTGAAAGGGCCATAGTTCACGATATGTACCAGCCCCCAGAGAATACGGGGACCAATCTAGAAAAACACTCCAACGATATTGCTCTGCTCCTTCTTGGCCGGAATGTCACCTTCACTGAGTTCATCCAGCCCATCGGCATACCCTTGGCTCAGAATAACTCCTTAAGGGGTTCCTCTGTAGTCCATAGCCTGACCATCGCCGGTTGGGGTCGCACCAATAAAGAGTCACGGGCCACCAGCACCGTAAAGATTAAGGCTCTGGTTCATAGCTGGTCCATGGACAGCTGTAAAAAGCTATACGCGGAAGTGCGTCCTGGACAGATGTGTGCTGGTGGTGGTGCATCCAAGAAGAGCAGCTGCTTCGGCGACTCTGGAGGACCGGTAATGAACGACGATCAGCTTGTGGGTATTATTTCGCTGGGGGCTTCTAAATGCGGATCCGATCGCACACCAATGGTCGTTACCCGAGTGGAAAACTTTCTTAAGTGGCATGCAGAGCACATGAAGATGTAGTTCCTTTCTACAACAGATAAAATATTGACGTTGTGAATCCAACTGTGATCCAACTTAACTTAATAATAAAGCCACCCTCAACAAAACCAATTAGACGATTTTTATTATGTCAAGATCCTGTGATTATTATTGAAATTGTCGCCAAGTTTTTGGAGTAGTTAAAAAAAGTTTGTTTGGTTGGTGGATGATGATAGTGTTTGCGATGATGATGATGCGAAGATGATTGGTGATCCTCACGCTAAAGCTTTTATCTAGTCACGTCTGCTGCGCTTGCGATCCGAATGACTGTTGCGCTCGTTGTTCTTCTCTTCGGCTCGCTTGGGCGCCTTTTTGGCCATGTTTAAGAACTGATCGAGTCCGAAGGGATCCTCCTCCTTCTCGAACTCTACGGGTCCACTCCTCTGACCAGCGGCCGCGTCCCTGGAAGCGCCAGAGAATTGCTTGTCCGGCACAAAACGCTTGGTATTTACAATGGCATCGAGATCCCCGCCGTAGTTATCGCTATCCGCTTGCTTGCTGGGTCGGTAGATATGGGCGCCCAGTGTGTTGGAATCGCGCCAGGGTTTGTCGTACACATTGTACGCCTCGTCATCCCCGTAACCCGAATCCATGCCCTTGGTGGTGTTGAAAAGACGCTGATCGAAGAGGGTTTCGCCATTGCCAGCACTTTTGGCGGGCAAACCCAAAGCGATCTGCTCGGAGATGTCGCGCTCCCTCTCCCGTTGCAGCTTCGACCGCTTTTCCGGAGCCGCTCGCTGTAGATTTCTATCCCGCTGGCGTTCCCTTTGCCGCTCTGCCCGCAAATCGTTGCGTTCACGCGCCTCGGCTCCACCAGCTCCCGATGGTCCCGATGGCTCGGCAGCCTCTGGATTTCGAAGACCCGCTCGTTCTTCACGCGCCCGCTGCGCCATCATTCGCAGCATATCCTCCTTCTTCTCCTTCTCCTTTTGGGCCAGCTTCTTCTCCAGCTGGGCTCGAGCCTCCACCGCCTCTCGGGCCTTGCGATCGGCTATATACAGCGCCTCGGCCATTTTAGCGAACTTCTCGTTAATGTGCACCTGCTGCAGACCACGTCCATCGGCTGCCAGACGCTTGTCCAGGGGAATGGTGTAACCTGAAATCGGCAAGAAGAGCAAATGAATACGATGTAACTACTATAAAACCTGCAAATATAGTACGTTTAACTCACCTTTGGCGTTTTTCCAGTTGGATATGCAGGGCGGGATCTTCCACTCTTTTTGCTCCTTTACCGTCACTTTGCGCGATGGCGAGTGAAGGACAGGTGCCGGGGGAGACGGAGGACCACGTGGAATCTTCTTGTTGATGCGGAACTTGGGCGGCTCCATCGGATCTAGTTGCGCCTCCACCATCCGGATGACCCGCTGCTTGGCACCTGAATTGAAGGCATCGCCCTGCTGTGATGGCGTGTACCGAATATATTGGGCGGGACCCGCCTTCTGGGCGTGACGCACTGGCAGCGCCGAGGTGATCTTTTGATTAGTAAGCTTCTCCAGCGCTAGTCGCGTCTCTTCCGTCGTCTCCTGCACTGTTTCCTCGTCCGGTCGCTGCAGTTCGTCCGCGTCTTCGGCTAAAACCTCAGCCGGCAGCAGTTGCGAGATGGATGAGTATACAATTTTATCCTTTCCATGTCCCTGCCGCGCTATGGCATCATATTTGACCTTTCCTTTATCGTCCAAGCGAACGGCCAGGGCATCCGACTTCTTTCCCACATTTCCTGGCGCTCCCAAACCTGCCATAAAAGAAGGTTATAAAAAATGTGATTAAACTAAGGATTTCTGCATTTTTCTTGGATTCTATATGCATCTTTGTCTATTTAAATTATAAGATACGACTTTCAAATGGGAAACATATTGCATACTTTAGTGTTAAAGATCTATTGTTTGTAACAACATATATGGACATCAACCAAGCGAATGAAACTTATTATTATATAAGGTCCTTATAAGGACATAGGGTAATCCTAAAAACTATTCAAACAATCATAACCATACCAAGGATCGTTTCTATTATGTTATAGTAGATATTTGACCAAAGATCTTTAAACTCATACATTTTTTCCATAAAATCTTATTAGATACATCGTACATCGTGATAAGGTCAAAGATCTCCAAACGATGAAATCCTACTTAAATGTTTGCATTATATCACAAACACTAATCTTAGTTTTTCCAAGATTGAGCATATATTAATTGCTTCTAAATAGTGTGTGATATTCATTACAAGGTTACTATTCCCTAGAAGGATCCACTACAACATCCTCTGAAAGCAAAGAGAAAGTTGGATTACGGAACAACTCACCCAATGGATACTGCGCCACATGGATCTCGGGGAAGGCACCGCCGTCGCCAAAATCTGCCTCCGTCCGTGGAACCCAATCCTTGCGCTGTCCGTACGGCGGAGCTGCAATTTTGGCGGAGACCAGGGCTCCGATCTTCGGTGCTCCGCGGGCGGCCAGACGACGCTCGTCCTCGCGGTCCCAGACCGCATTCGTCGGCGTGGGCAGCAGGCTCGATAGCGACATATCTGTTGTCTTGTTTTTTCGACTTAATTCCTATGTGAAACCACCTTTTCGCGTTCTCTTAAAATTGCAAGCACAAAATACAATGGAAAAGTGGAAAAAAACACGCACGCACACGGACACACACAATCAAGCGCACGTAAAGTAGGATTGCCAGATCGCAGAACAATTATATGCCACCAAATACGGTCACATCTGTAAGATAAAAGATGTGTGGGGCATTCTTTAAGCTAGATTTATAAAATTATTCAGTATGAAGTAATTTGACAAGTTTATCCAAACTAGCTCTCAGCGTAAGACTAAAAAAGCTTTAAAGCAATAGTAAATAACAAACTGATGAAATCTAAATCAAACTGAGTTAAAAATCTAATTATATAGCTAGTCTTTCATACATGGCAGTTGCTTGTAATTTAGCTAATTTCCCGCTAATAAAATCCATCTGATTTAGCTATTCAATACTATCGCACCGCTCTAATCTTCAAGCAGTTCCATCGCTACCAGTGCAGTCAACAAAAGGAAGGTCTGTGTTTTGGCCAAATTTACAATACGATGTACACATTGATGCACGGCTTCTACAAGTATATGACACAGAAGGACGACTACTGCGTGGTGATCCTGGGCCTAGACAATGCTGGCAAAACCGTAAGGGGCTAAATCAGCCGGGAAAGCAGCAATTCCAGTACCGAACTAACATCTCTGCCCACGTAGACTTACCTGGAGGCCGCCAAGACCACGTTTACCAGAAACTATAAGGGTCTAAATCCAAGCAAGATCACGACGACAGTGGGCCTCAACATCGGCACCATCGATGTACAGGGCGTGCGCCTCAATTTCTGGGATCTCGGTGGGCAACAGGAGCTGCAGTCGCTATGGGACAAGTACTACCAGGAGTCGCACGGCGTCATCTACGTTATTGACTCAAACGATCGCGAGCGAATGGACGAGTCCAAGATGATCTTTGGTAATAGTCAGATATTATACATATAAAGATTTCTAGAAAACAGGGCTACAACCAGTGAGTCGAGTTTTTCTTAAAATAAATTTTGTTTACGATTTTACTTAAATTAAAAGGTGATATCCGTATCAAAAAATTGTGAAAACAAATCGCCTTGTGACGAGAAGTTCAAATATATACATTTTTGAATGAGTGCAATAATTCTTCCCGGAAAACTTTACTCGTCATCAACATCAGTTGAAGATTCATAATAACTGTTGATTCTTAGTACATGTTCGGATAGTTTTAATTGTTAGTCTATGAGTAAACAATATATTACCTAAAAAAAAAGAAAAAAAAATTCTAAAATATGTATAATAATATTCGCCTTTTCAGACAAGATGATCAAGAACGAGCTGCTTTCTGGAGTGCCTTTGCTTATTTTGGCAAACAAGCAAGATCTACCAGATGTGATGGGCGTGCGGGAGATCAAGCCCGTATTCCAGCAAGCAGGCACCTTGATTGGCCGCCGAGATTGCCTCACCATTCCCGTATCCGCCCTACACGGCGAGGGCGTCGACGAAGGCATTAAGTGGCTGGTAGAGGCCATCAAACGACATGCGGTGGTCAGGCCGCCGCGGGAAAACGATTAGAGCATTTGGAAAAGACACGGGGCCATCAGCCCACCAATGGCTTTAATTAGACTCGTATTTTTATAACTTTAGGGCTTAGGACTACGCTTATTTGTAATTAGCTGAGAGAGATAGTGAGATACCAATTGTACATTGTTGTAAATGCGGTAGGCGCCCGCTTTATCTAACAGCAGCCTTGCAACGGCCTTAACTAGATTTGTTTTCCGTAGACTTATCTTTCTTATTGGCCCAAAGCAAGTTGTATATGTAAAAACGAATCTTAAACCTATTTTGGGCTTCACAGAAAGATTTTAGTGCAGGACAACAAATTACAATTATAATTCGGAATGACGGAAGATGCACCGTTTGTTAACATGAGCAAGGATTTAATTTATAAAAATATGCGTGGCAGAAAATAAAATGTGGAATTTTGTAAATAGATTTTACTTCGTATATTTAAAGCATTTGAGTAATAAAAAATACCTTAAAACGAGACACTGATGATAAAAAAAATATGGTTTTAGAAACTCGTGTATTTAAAATGTAGTTATTTGTTAAGTACCTCATATATTTTAGTATGCCCTAGAAAATTAAAGAAATGCTTTGATAAACTCATATTTTTCGTTTTTGACAGATTAAGTAAATAGCAATAATAACTACATTTTAGAAGCATAATTTCGACTTGGACTTTCTAATTAGAAGAACTTATGGGAGAATATGCAGCAATTTAAAATTACAAATTTTATAATTTCGGGAATATTTATTAAAAACATATACCGCTGATATACGATACAGTATTCCCAAAAATTTCTAAATTTAAGAATTCAAAACTGTGATCGACATTCGTTCGACCAAGAGTTATGGTAAATTGGTAATTTCAGGGTGAGTGGTCGATTTATGTTCTACAAAATCGAGAGAATTTCAGCTTTATCTAACAGCGCGACGCTCGTACTACCTCGATATGGCGGTTGTCAATGGGGCTCCGCTTATCCGAACCAAACCGTAAAAAAGAAACAACCAGCCGGGATTGTGTTATTTGTGGGTTGCGTTATTCTCACGGCGCGGGGAATATTACCATTATCAGCCAATAGATAAGTTCGGTGTGCCACCAAAAGCAACACCTGGTGAGTTGCACTGGAATCGTCAGTCTTCCGCAGGAGTTTCCACCTCTCGGACTGTGGAAATGATCGGTTAACTAGAGCTAGAGATAGAGAGTCGGGAAAACAGAGCGTTGCCAGTTAACTATTCGTGTGTACATTAGATAAGGCCTATGTGGAGCACTCCGTGCTTATCGCTGCCATTCCCATTCCAGTCGGTTTAGTTCCGTGCTCCAGTGACAAGCTACCATGTATCCATATTACGAGCAGGACTGGAGTGTTCTGCCTCCGGAGAACAATCGCAGGTGAGATTGTATCCTCCGGAATCACTAGATTCCCAATAAGATTTTCGAGTCATTAATTGAATCTTTTGAAATTATATTTCAAAAATGACGTTATTGCGGCGAAGTGTGACCGATCTTTGGCCGTTTTGTTTTTGCGGTATTTTTTTAATTGTGTTGTGGTGTGGCTAAAAAACGTTGAATCACCCATTGGTTGCGAATGCTAATTTTAATGCAATCCGATGTTTTTATGTTTTTATTTGTTGCTTTAAAAGTTATAAAATCTAAACTGCTTTGAACAGTTTTTATGGATATTTTGACTCGATAGTTTCGAAAATGTTCATCAAAACCAATCTAGCTCTTAAAAATACCAAAGAAAGCTTTTTTTTTATTACTTATTATCACAATATTAGAATGAATACGTAAAGATATTTGTACATCGAAATTCACTTTAAAAACTTGTATCCATTTGTTTTTTAATGTGAATAAAGTTTTGTATTTAAAAATATTTGAATGTTTAATTTCTAAATATTTTAGATATAAACATGTTTGTTTATGTAGTTATTAATTTTTTGGAGTATATGTTTGACTCATTTTAAAAATATTTAAAAAAAAATCAAAATGATTCATTGATCTTAAAAATATAGAAAAATTAAAAAAAAAATGTATGAAACTTTTAAAGCTTATGTTTTTACTGGAAGATATCAGTTTTTAAGTTTTAGTAAATCTAATATTTTAAATAACAAATAGCTGAAGCACCATTTTTCAAATGCATATAAAAAGATGGTGCACTTTTGGGATATTGGGAATATTTTAGGCAGCATATTCACTGGCTATATGAAAATGCTTAAAAGTTAACTTATTGTTAATAAGAAAGATACAAAAAACATGTAAGTGGATATATTTAGGTATTCAAGAATAAGTTTTCCCTGTGATTCTTCATCCCCAACGCCCACTGTATGCAAAACGCGCTAGTGATTTTTTTTTTGTTCGCGACGCGTTAGTCCCAAATTGCAGAACTGCTTGTAAATATCGCCCTCTCGTTCGCACCCACTACTACTGTTGCGCTCATCATCAACATATTCTCGACGAAACATTTTTTTTTTACTTGTTACGTTGATTTTGTGGCGTTTAAAATAGCGATTAACCAGCGCAAAGTTGGCCGTGCGAACATGTGCTAAAGCGTAAATACAGTGATACAATAGAATTTAAATAATTTTGCAAAAACATTCCAGCCAGAAGCGAAGGTGTGTGCGTGTACTTGCGACGACTTTTTTTTAAGTTTTTGTCGCGTTGTAAAATTTTGCACTTAAAAAGCTGACGCGTTTTTCGGGCAGGTGGTTATTAAAGAATGTAGAGCTTATGAATCTGCCAGTGGATTCTATGCGATAAGGCGGAAATGCCAGTTGAAAAGTGTGCCATAGATTTTCCTGCCCTTTTCTTGTTGGCCCAAAAGGCATGCATGTGTGTGTGACCAGTGTGCGTGTGTGTGGGCCTTCCAGTGAATCGCATAAATTAGCAAGCGAAAAATCACATTGAAAACAAACGAGGAAAGCTCTAAAGAAAAACCCTACGTGTTAAATATATATAGTATACTATATAGAAGTGACGTTATTGTTTCATGATTTTTTAATGCAATCGATATATGTGCTTATATACACTTATGCTATCGATGACGGCAGCTGTTTTCGTTTTTGGCCAGTTTAGTTTTTATTAAGTGGAAACAAGTAAACAAGTTGTATTTCGGATTAACTGTTTCTTTTTTTCCAATTGGACATTGGAAGCCCTTGACGCGCGTGTTTGTGTGTTAGTGTTTGTGTGTGCATTAATCATTTAATCAATTTGCATTGCGCTCTCGACAAAAAACAGTAAATTGTTGTTGCCTTGGCCAGAAAGAGAGATCATGTGTATTTGTTTGAGCCAACTCACATACACGCACGCACACACGCATGAATAAGAGATGTCAGTTTCATAACAACGGTGATCTATTTTACGTCAGCGGTGAATGTTACTGCCTTTATTTAAACTATTAAACTTTTTTCTATTAGTTTTAAAAAAAAGAGAGCAAGCGGTAAGGGGCGAGAGAGCGAAAGAGAGAGTGCAACAAAATAGCGGCCGGCTGTTAGTCCGTGTGTGTGTGTGGGAGTGAGTGTTTGTGTGCGTGGAAGATCTGCAGAGGAAAAACCGTTTGTTCGTTTCGCTAATTTGTGTTGTTGCACCGCCGCCCAGCAACAAAAAGAAAACACAAAGGCGCGTAGGCCGGCAAAAAAGAAGGAAAAAGTATAAAAAGTAATACAAGAGAGCCAATAAAAAGCGGAAAAAAGGCTGCCACACAAGTGATTCAACGTTTCTCGCCGCCACAATGAATTCCGAGCATGGGTAGGATCCAAAAATGCAGTCCCAATCCATCGAGTTGTCCTTTAAACCTATAACTATTCTCAACAGATTCAATCCAGCCTTCAATATGGCCACCATACGGCAAGCATTCACAGAGGCGGTGGAGAGAGGTAAGCTTTTTAAGAGGTCAACGTACAGTAGATATTGTCTATGAGGGCCAACTGGGCATGCCATTCAGAACATGTTGAGAGCATTGAAACCACAAACAATCCATTAAGAGTGTGTCACTCTTTTTATCTATCTGAATTGAATGTTTTAAAAATAGAATAGCATACTTTTAGCATTTTTTTGATGAGATTTCAAACCTCCAGCAGTGCAAAACATCGCAAAATTAAAGTGTAATCCAAATTTTAAAAAATCAAAAGAAATGATAAATGAATTTGTAAGAAAGGTCAATAAACCCAACTTATTTTACAGTCTGAATTCGCTGCACTTAACCCATTAGTTTCTCATGAAAATAATTTTTTAAACCTAAATGAAAATATGATTTTAGTGATAGCCTTTTTAAAAAGGTTATCAAGTCAAGCATTTGCAGTACCATAGACTATTTATTTTAGATGATTACTGCTGCAAATATGTTAAATATTCTGTAAATTAGTTCATTTTAAGGAGAATAAATGACCATCCAGGGGTTACATTAACTACCAGACAAAACCTGATTAATTATTATTTTTTGCCCACAGTCAGAATGCCTACGCCCACACGCCTGCGCGACCTCATCCGACAGATTCGCGCGGCCAGAACCGCCGCCGAAGAGCGGGCGGTGGTCAACAAAGAATGCGCCTACATACGGAGCACATTCCGCGAGGAGGACTCCGTCTGGCGGTGAGTCACGTCTTCTCCTGCCCTGTTCCCATTAAGACGAAAACTAATGTTTACAATTTATTCGCACAGCTGTCGCAACATTGCCAAGCTTCTGTACATACACATGCTCGGCTATCCGGCTCACTTTGGCCAACTGGAGTGCCTTAAGCTGACGGCCAGCACGCGGTTCACAGACAAGCGGATCGGCTACCTGGGCGCCATGCTGCTGCTGGATGAGCGGCAGGATGTCCACCTGCTCATCACCAACTGCTTGAAGAAGTAAGCTTTACAGTTCTGTTTTTTTTTCTCGCGTTAAAAAATGATTAATGGAGGTTTTGAAGGTGTCAAAGGGACAACAAAGTGTAATAAAATGTAGATGTAAATTATTATCCATTGATGTTAATTTACAAGAACTACTATAAACTAGTTTCTTAATAGTTGTATCCCATTAGTTGAAAATTAGGATTTTTTCTCTTTCTTTGTAGGGGCTATTAGAAAGTTATTTATGTTCTAAATCCAACAAGAACTGGACAATAAACTAACTCTAAATTATTACTCATTAAAGTTGAAGAAGATAGTTAGTACTCTCTAGTTACAAATCTCGAAGACCAAAACTAAATTACTGACTCATGATCTTAATTGCAGCGACTTGAACAGCTCGACGCAGTTCGTCGTGGGCTTGGCCCTGTGCACTCTGGGTGCGATTGCCTCACCGGAAATGGCTCGGGATTTGGCCAGTGAAGTGGAGCGTCTGATGAAGTCCCCGAACACGTACATCCGCAAGAAGGCGACGCTGTGCGCTTTCCGTGTCATCCGGCGTGTGCCCGAGCTAATGGAGATCTTTCTACCGGCCACGCGATCCCTGCTTAGCGAGAAGAACCATGGTAAGTGTTCATTTACTTAGGGGTTTTTTTTCCCCTTTGTACATTAAAATTAAGAATAAGCTAATCAAAACATAGCTTAAGCATAGATTATATTTTTAGTTTGTGTTTTTTTAATTGCAAAAAACCAACAACGACTTGTGTATGAGCTCATCTTAAAAGCTTGTGAATCATGTACTAGAAATAAATATGTAATGAGTGATCATGGATAGACCTCTTAAAATAGGAATTACGCATTCCCATTTAAACTAATTTTTCACCATCTTCGGTTGCAGGTATTTTGATCACTGGCGTAACGCTGATCACGGAGATGTGCGAAAACAGTTCGGATACGCTGATGCATTTTAAGAAGGTAAGTTGACGTGGCCAGCGGCGGAATCAAGTCATGTCCTCGGAACCAGTTCGTTCGCGGCAGAGGTCACCTACTTCATCAACTGCCACTGCCACTGCTGCTGTTCCTGCTGCATTTGGTTTTTCCTAATCATTAATGTGGCCCTCGAGAAATAAACGACCCCAAAAAGCGGGTTTACAATATTTTTTGTATACAATTATCGGGCCCATTCAATCTAGTTGTAGTGGATATATCATTTTTATATATTATATTCTCCCCGCTATCACCCATTTTGCCCATATACCATATATTTTATCTCGAAACGTATCTTTTCGTTTACTTTGCCGATTTTGACACACCCCACACTCCTTTTCGTTTCGATCAACCTGTATTTACTTACGATTTTTTAACGCTTGTTTGTTTTTGATCGAATTCGAATACCGCGCAAACACAAAATGAAATTTGTTGTAATTTGCTTGCCAGGATAGCGGAAATCGAGAGGTATGATTGTTGTGCCTAACTAGAAAATATACCTGTAACGCCTTCTACTTAACCTTATACCCCCCACACCTATATTTAAATATGTAAAAAGTATAATTTTGTAAGAGTTTTTTGCTGTTGCCTATGTATATGTCTCTCCAAGCAGCCATAATTATAATATGTGGTTATAGTTAGTCATTCATTCGATATCTGTAATCTGTCAGTTTAATGTACTAAAACTCCAAATATTCAAACTAGAACCAAAAAACTAAACTATGTTATCGCTATCATGAAGTGACTTCTAGCAACTGTTTTTGATATCAAGATGTTGGAGTTATTCAACTGATAGTATAATTATCTTATCGGTCTTCCATTTAACAAAAAAAGTAACTTGTATTATCTAAAACATCAGGCATTTTTGAATAGCTTTGTTGAAATTTCAAATCGAGAAAATAATTGAATTTAAATTTAAATAATTATGTGACAACCACTGCTAATGTAAGTGCTTGAATAGCTTGTATCTACCCATTGCTATATCGCTTTGATCAGATTCATCTGATCGTATATATATATGTATATCCTGCTATTTGTATTTAATTTTGTGATCCATAAAACCATTTCGCTTGCACAGACATATACATAACCAGCAGAAGTTCACTTTTGGCCAAGAGTATTCGAAACACATGCAATTTTTGGTAGGACTCTCCCCTCACACACGATCTGTATATATAGTGTTTTTTTCGTAGATGACCGAGTCTCAAGAGCTTTTGAGCCGGGCTTTAGATCTTCTTGGTTTCATTTGCACTCTTCTTCAAGTTCTTATCGTTCTTTGTCTTTTTACACACAACACTCAAAAAATGCACACCTATTATACGCTCACTGTCACACAATTTTCCGTATTTCCCGCCTTGAAATGATCGCTTGCAATGGCATTTTTAATATATATTGTGATAACAAAAAATAACCAACAGATCGTGCCAAACCTGGTGCGCATCCTGAAGAACCTAATCTTGGGCGGCTATTCGCCGGAGCATGACGTCAGCGGGGTGAGCGATCCCTTCCTGCAGGTGAAGATCCTGCGACTACTTCGCATCCTGGGCCACAACGATCCGGACGCATCTGAGGCAATGAACGACATTCTGGCCCAGGTGGCCACCAATACGGAGACAAGCAAGAATGTGGGCAATACAATCCTCTACGAGACAGTGCTCTCTATCATGGATATCCGGTGAGTTCGTTGACCATTTGGCTCGGAGCACTTAATAAGATTGTATTTTCTTGTTGACCACACAGCTCGGAGGGTGGACTGCGCGTCTTGGCTGTCAATATCCTAGGACGATTCCTGCTCAACTCGGACAAGAACATAAGGTACGTGGCGCTGAATACACTGTTGCGAACAGTTCATGCGGACACATCGGCGGTGCAGCGGCATCGCACCACCATTCTGGAGTGCCTAAAGGATCCAGACGTCTCCATTCGCCGTCGGGCGATGGAACTTTCGTTTGCTCTGATCAATGCACAAAACATACGTACAATGACCAAGGAGCTGCTGCTCTTCCTCGAAAAGGCGGACGCTGAGTTCAAGGCCCAGTGCAGCTCGGGCATGATTCTGGCCGCCGAACGTTATTCGCCGACCACGCGCTGGCATCTGGACACACAGCTGAGCGTGTTGATTGCGGCCGGGAATTATGTACGCGACGACGTTGTCTCCTCCACCATCCAGCTGGTGTCCAGCAGTCCCGTCCCGGAGCAGACGTACATAACAAACCGTTTCTGGGAGTCACTGCAGGTGGCCAATCACTGTGAGGACAAGCAGCCCTTGCTGCAGGTTGCCGTCTGGGCCATAGGCGAGTACGGCGATCTGTTCATGTACGGCGCCAACGAGGATGGTGAGTGACCAGGATAAATCTTTCGAGATTCTATTATAATACTTGTTTTTGATTTTCAGAGTTTGAACGTCCCACTGAGAGCGATCTGATCGCTGTGTATCATAAGTTTTTAACCTCTGCTCAAGTCTCGACCACAAGTAAGCAATACGCTCTGGTCTCCCTAGCCAAGCTAAGCACGCGTCTGCAACAGTGTGTGGAGTAAGTACTCCTGTGGCCATGTTGATTCCATAACTCATATGATTGTTTAACAGGGAAATCCAGGCGCTGATCACGTCCTTTGGCAGCCACCTTAATGTGGATCTGCAGCAGCGAGGCGTGGAGTTCACGCAGCTATTTGGCCATTATAAGCATCTGCGTCCACCGTTGCTGGAGAAGATGCCGGCCATGCAGATCAGCAGGATTAGCTCGCAGAATGGCGAGAGCGGTGGTGGCTCCTTCGACGACAACAGTCCGGATGTCATTGAAAATGGCGTAGAGGGAGGCGGCGGTGGCGGACACTCACTTATCGAAAGCAATATGAACACTCTCGGTGACAATACGGTGTGTTTAAATAACAATCTTATCCTTTGGCCATCTATAACATAATCTCTAATCCCTTCCAGAACATTCTGCTTGATCTTTTGGGCAGTACGGATCTCTCGGCGGGCGGCGCTGGTGATTTAGTAGCAGCCACGGATATTTCCAATGCCGTGCATAAAAAGAACTCTCGGAATGCCAACGATGTGGTAGCCCCCGTTTCCAATAACCAGGATCTGCTGGATCTGCTTGATTTGGATCTGTCCACGCCGTCGGCAACGACGACAGGTGCGCCAGCGGGCGGAGGAGGAGGCGGCGGCGGTATCCTGGCCCTGGCCGGCGATAATAACCAGAGCAGTGCGGCAAACATGAATAACATGCTGGGTGGCCTGGACTTGGGTGGCTTTGGATCTGGTCTGGATGGTTCGGTGAGCATACCTACGAATGGTAACGATCTGGCCAGTATGCTGGGCGGATTGAGAGGAGCTCCGGCTGCATCAGCGCCACTGGGAGCTCCAGCTGCCGTTGGCAACCTTATCGATGGCCATGGCGGCAATCTGTTGGGTGATCTTAATCCTACGGCTGCATCCAACAATGTAGTAGTGGTAAGGGAAACAAGTTCTCCTTTTTCCATTTGTTAATTTTTTATTACTTGTTTAGCCTCCACAAGGTCCCAGGCTGACGGCGCTGGATAAGGATGGTTTACTGGTACAGCTGGTTTCGGTCAAAGGCAACGACTGCATGCGCATCTATATGACGACCACGAATAGCTCAGACAATACCCTGGATCAGTACTTGCTGCAGGTGCGGAGGCTATCCTTTATATTAGTCTTAGTCTTATCATAAAAACTCCATAAACTCTAAACATATCATTTGTATTTGCAGGCGGCGGTGCAGAGGAGTTTCCAGCTGCAGATGCTGACGCCTTCCGGTTCAGTCCTGCCGCCTGGCGGTGTGATTACGCAGGAGATGCGAGTGGTGGCCACGTCAAATGTGAGTAGCCCTGAGTTATCTTTCCACAACATGGTCACTAAAGTATTTAACTTACTTTACTTTAACAGGCGACACTACGGATGCGTCTGCGTATCCAGTACGTGCTCGATGGTAAGCAGCAGGTGGAGCAGACGGAGGTGAGCGGATTCCCTGAGCAGCAGCCGGCGGCGGTCGAAGAGTAGAACTGCAACTGTATTAAAGCAAAACCAGATTAGCCTAATATCGGAAATAATTCAACATGGGCAACTTGCGCAGCAGGAGCGGCAGCAGCATCAATAACACAGCAACAGCAACACTAAAAAACACACACTGTGGTTGTCACACATTTATTGTAAAATAAGTTATCACACACACAGTAAAACACACAGAGACCCACGCAATCGCAACTAGATCAGAGCATTTTCCAGATCGGCGCACAGCGTTGTCAGACTCAGACTGTTTTTTAACCGAGAATAGTCCTGTCGGCGCTCGGTAGCAGAGAAAATACGGGGATTTCCCCCCGTCAGAGCAGTTAACTTATATATTTTTTCTAATTTATATCTAAACATATATATATATATAAACACACTACTTGTCAAATCAAATTCTTTACGTTTATCTTGTTTTATTATTAATAATTTTCTCATTTTAAATGGTGTGTAAACTTTTGTGTGTCAAAGACAACTTTCAGTTTTAATTTAAGACAATAAAAGTCAATCCCGCTATACCCATAAAGAATGGCAACTAACAAACAATTAAGAAGCAACAACAAAAGAAATGTATTAAAACCGATTGTGAAATTATCTAGCAAAGGCATTTAAAAAGCTTAGCATTTTAAAAGGAATCGAAATGGAGCGAGTTAAGAGATGTTTGACGTTTGATGCCATTTCAAGCTGTTTATTTGTTATTTCTATATATGTAATGAGTGTTTGTTTTCCCCAGTCCTGAGTCTTATTGATCGGTTCCGGCTTTTGTTGGACACCCCCCGATATTCCTTCTTTTTTTTTACCCCGCTAAATACATTCATTTTATATATATATAAACAAACACTGAAACACACACACGACCACGCGGATATATATTATGTATTATGTATTGTTATTTCCTGTGCGCACGTACTTAAAGCGGAGAATCAGCAGCAACCAGAGAAAGTCTAAAAAATAAAACACAAACCAGATAGCACTGTGGAAAACTAGATAATATCTATGATAAATATAATTGTAACGGAGGAGGACGCAGCTTAGAACTATATAAACTGATTAGTTGCCGTCGCCGATGAGATGACGATGATGATGATGATGATGAGGGGCATCGAGAAGCAAAGAAAATCCATTAACTATTATTATTATTATTATGATTATAAATGAATTATGCAGCTGTATGAGAATGAAAGAGAGAGAGATAAGAAAATAATAACATTAACATATTGTACAATATATTATTATTTTTGTATTATTATCATTTCCTTTTATATCTACTTATATTCCACAACCCTTTTGAGCCGAAATAAAAAAAAAACGATTTCGTTTTATCGAAGGACAACACGGCCCAGACTCTAATTCTCATCGAAAACGTTTGATCGTGATCTTGGGATGTGAAAAAATTAAATAATAACTTACTGTTTGGGATTGCCAAAAAATTGTATTGGTAAGGTTAGATGTCGTTGTCCTTGGCTTTATAAGGCTATATGAAAGGAATTCAAGGTGTCCTCTTGAAATTGTTTTAAAGGAATGCCCTAATATTGATGGCCCAATCGTCCTTTGGCATCCGTTCCAAATAAAAGTTCAAGGTTCATCAATTTGTAGTTTCATAAATTAAAACCTTTCGTTTCCAACTTAAACTCGATTCTACCACCAACACTACAGGATTTACAGCGGCGAAAATAACAACTCATGTACTTAAAATTAGACTAGGAAAAGCGCCACCCTCTTATTGCAAATAAAAAGTATCAATACACATGACTGAATCAAATCTCAGAACTGACAGGCCTTCTGTTCCGTAAACTCTCCGTCATCCTGCAATCGTCGTAATCCTAAACCTCGACGAATCCCCACCAACAAGTGTAGTCGAATAATGGAAATCATCATGGATAATGCTGGGAATCAAAATGTCTCACGGCTGTCAGCTGCGCCTGCCGCTTCCTTCAATTCTCATTCTGAATGTCCTTGCAACGCAGTGGTGGCAATTTATCGTCTAGTCTTTGAATGTATGTATTAAATCCTTAAATCCTTCAAATAAGGAATTGGAGGAATTTTCAACTTTGGATTACTTTACTTTGAAGAAAAGTAAAGTCATTGACATAATACTAAATAATATCAAAAAATTATTTTCTTTTGTCACGCAAGATATTCATCGAAATGGGACAAAAGGGGTCAGGTGGTAAATGTTATATTAATTAATATTTTAATTCACGAATATTACTATGAATAACGAGATCCGTCTCAAGAGCAGACTTAAGTTGGGTGCCACTGTACGGCCAATTCCTTTGGCAAAATATGCTCCCAATGATGGATCATTGGCCTTGGTCTCCGGATGGGATATGAATAAACATAACATAACAGTAAATGATATTCTTTTCAAGACCTCATTGAACATTGTGAGCCGAATTGGACGCAAGCAGGTGTACGGATATTATAGCACGGATTTGATATGTGCCAGAGATGTATGTATGTGGGAGACTCCGGAGGACTCTGGTCGTCGATGGAGTCCTTGTTGGCATCGTTTTCTTTGAGGACCAATGTGCTAGTTCCAAATATCCCGAAGCTTATGCTAATGTCGCTGCGCTCAGGCCTTGGATCGAAAAAGCTATACTCAGAGTTTAATTTTACGAAATGGTATACTTTGTAATATAAGCTAAAAAACTTGATAAAGATATAGCGCCATAAACTAAACAGTTTCTGATATTAATATAATAATTTTTTAAATTATTTTTAAGGAATCATTTTTATTTATTTATATAATACTTATATTTTTTTACTAATGTTGTTGCTGTGTATGTACAGTTCAGCTTTTTCTTGATCCTTAGCCACTGATTAGATTTTTTGCCATCACTGCTGCAGCTGTCACACGCTGTTGTTATTGTGGCTCTTTCTTATCCTCTCTCTTTCGTCGATGCTCCTTTGGGTGCTGCTCTGCTCTCTTCAACTGGCGCACTCTCCTCTCCTGTGACGTATTGTAACCTTTGGTAAGGTTAAATGTGAGCAGCGGAACCCGCGAATTGTGCCACGCCAAAAGAGGCGTGTTGAGTGGGACACTCGTAAGAGGGAGAGGAGAAGTAGATGGGTGAGGCGGAGAAGGACAAGGGGGCGAGGCGCCGACGCATTGGCTTTGTCTGTTGGCTGGAAAATGGGATATAGGGATATCAGAATACCGTTATCCCTTGCAGCCAACTCGAACGTGTTGCATGCAACCTGTTCGTTTTGCTCTCCCACTCTGCTATCACCCTCCTCCTCCTCTCACACCGACCCATCTGTCCCACCCACTAGTAGTTCCACGTGGGTGTGCTTTGGCTATAAACAGCACGAACATCAGTCTGATTGTATGTGTGTATGGGTGCAGGCATATCTCCGTATCAAAATCAAACGGATTCAGCATCTCCATCAGTATTAGTATCAGCAGCAGCTCTGCTTTAGCCTCTGCCGACGTCGCTGCCGCTTTCGGATATAGTGGAACGTCGCTAAGTACAAGATAGTTTAACATCATACTAAATCATTTTTTTAAAAGATTCCATTTTTAACAAATTCAAAGTTAAAAGAACTTATTAGAAAACTAATTAAAGGTTTTAGGAAAATATTAAAATCCATTTATAAAGTCTTCCTAACATATTTTATCTTTCTTAAAGATCATAACAATTTCGTAAAAAAAAACAAGGCTCTATCTTGTTAATTTTGTCCATTTCCAAAATTGAACTTTTAAAGTTTCGTTTTTAGTTCGAGTTAAGTAAGTAGAACTGTGCCCTACTGGGTGCTCAAAAGGGGGAAATTGTGGGGCTAGTGAAGCACTAGAGCCGCCTGTCGCTGCAATGATTGAGATTAGTTTCCATTTCTTAATTGAAAAGTTGCTCTAATCTTTTGATATTTGTGGAAATTTGCCACAGAAATTTATCAATTTTCCGGCTCAGCCTTGGCCGCCTTGGCGCCCATTTCTCCGCCCCTCTAACCCATCCACCCAGCCGCCCACTTTCCTTGTACTCCCCCCGGGGGAACTACAATTGCCCTTATACCGGGCAAGCTGCCTTGAACAGAAATCGCCCTTCGGGCTGCTGCTGCTGGCGCTGCCGTTGCCGTTGCACTGGAAAAACAATTGGGGCCAAAGGGCGGTGAATCTGATGCCAATTAAGTAAAAAGGTAAAATTCCAGAGGAAGGCAAAGTTTTAAATATCTTTTCATGACAAGTTCGCCTGGTAATATAATGAGGACATTTCGCGCACACTTAAATTCACTGTAGAAGTTTGTTTGGCTCTCAAGTTTAGCAAAACTGAAATATTCAGCAATTACTAAGATGAAATATTGCTAATCACCTAGATATATAACATTTTTATTAAGCGACTGATCAACTTTATGATATTCAAAAACATGTAAATGTATCTTAATTGTACTTATTGATCTTGAGATACTTCTTGTGATATCTGGTATAAAAAATATTATAGCATACTTTTTGACATACAATAAACGTAAATCGGCCTATTGATAAATTAGAAACAAATGATCAGTTATAAACAAAATAGATCTGTATGACCACTAGGTAGATCAAAGACCATGTTTTCCTTACATTTTAAAATTATATGTTCCATTTCCGTGCAGTGTTTGGTTGCTTGCCGCTGCTGCTTTTGCTGCTGTAGTTGTTTTATATTCCCTTGGCCAATCTCCTCGCCCCCGAATTCCCCATCCCCCTTCTATCCCCTTTGCCCTCTGGCACTTTTCGGAGGGAAGGAAAAAAGTAATTTTGTGCAACGATGCGACGACCCTTGGCCAAAAAAAAAAAAAGACACAAAACAGAAAAAGAAAAACAACAGCGGGAACAACAACAAAATTGTAATGAGAAACCTTTTATGGCACGAACACATGCTCGCTTTTCCACCCACCCCCTCCCATTTTCCACATCCCCCCTTCCCAACCATTCATCCAGCGCCACAGCCACCCAAAAAGCCAAGTTATCTCTTCTGTTCTCTTCTCGTTTGCCTTTTAGTCGTAGTCTAATTTTATTTGGTTTGCTTTGCGCTTCATCTGCTTCTCCTTCTCCTTTATCTTCGTCCACTTCTTTCTTTTGTCTACTTAGAATTAATAATTTTTGTTGTTTTTACTTTTTTTTTTTCATCTCCATCGTGTTGTAATACAATATGTTTGTAGGTACTCTATATATGTACAGCTGAGGTCAGAATAATAGTAGCAGGTCCTTCGAAGATATTTTTTATTGTTACAGTTGTAAATAAAAATACAAATTATTTTTTTTGTATGTTACTTTAAAATGTTTTTATTTTTAAATATACAAAATAATCAAAGAAAATAAATAAATAATGCAGTCCTGTTGATTTTTTACCAATTACAATTGAAAATCTATAAACATCTTTAAGTAATGTTCTAAAATCATATTTTTTAATTTTCCGAAAAATCCACAGCTATTATTTTGACCACAACTGTATTTGCTTTTGTTTTCTTAACGTTTGCCGTTTTTTTTTTTTTTACTTTTGTTTGTTTGATAATTTATATTACAAAATAAAAATCAAAAAGCTAAACGGGGTGGGGCCAGGTTAGGGGTTAAGGATGGGGGTGGAAAACGAGGTTTTGGAGCACGGCTAAGGGTTAAGGGGGAGGAGAAGTGGAATTTGGCAAATGATTTGGATTTGGCAGGTGGGCCACTCTCTTCTTGTTCTTCCATTTTTTCCTCTCTCCCGCTGAAATTCATTTCTTGTGTGTTTGTTTAGGTGTGCCAGTGTGTGTGTGTGTGTGTGTGTGTGTCTTTTAGGGTGTGGGCGGGGGCGTGAGTGTGGGCGTGTCCATTGGGAGCATTGGAGCATCTTTATCGAAATAACATTGTAATTGCTTTTTGATAAATGAAGCACGCGCTGCACAACTGACAGCCGAACAACAAAAGCAACAACTAAAACAAACAGCGAGAGGGGGGACCAGAAGGGCAGTACTCTCGCACCAGGGTTACCCTCTCTTTTGCACTGCCAAGATCAAAAGCAATCGAAAATCCAACTGGATTCCAGAACCAGGTGGATTCCTAATTGGAAGCGAGTGGACTTCAAGTGGATTCGGAGTTGTAAATGCATTACACTTAAATTAATTCTTACTTAATAAGGAAGTAAACAAAGATCTTAGAATCTTAAATATTTTATAAGAATTTTCTTAATCACTATTTTATAGAGTTTAATTTTCTTCCAGCAAAAAAAAAAGTATATAACGCTAGAAAGTAAAATAAAAATCAAGATTTTGATTAACATTTTCCTTAACTGGTTAATTTCCAGTTTTAATTGGTTATAAATTAAATATTTTATCAGGTAAGTAAAGAAAAAAACACGATATTTCATATGATTTCATATATCTGATATTTTTATAAATATGCTTAGCTTATCAGGAAGAAGTTTATTTGGTTAAGCTTGCTTTTGTTTCTAGGTTCAAAATGTCTTTTTGTTTTCATATAAATTAACACTTTTATTGGTTAATCATACATACACCTAATTTGATATTTGTTCTTTACATTTATTAGAAAACATTCAGAAATAAGTGATATAAAAAATAGGAAATTATTGAAATGTACATTTAAAGGAATCAAAGTTTAACACGTTTTCAGTCCACATTTAGTTGTATTTTTTTTTAAGAATATTCTATGTAAATACGAGTATATATATATATATATATTTATTTGGAAGATTTGAGTTAAGTAGTTGGAAGTGCAAGAATGGAGTTTGAAGCCCAGTAAACCCATAAATATTGTTAATCAAAAATAAAAGAAATTTATACAGACTTTATAGTGCACACACACTGTACTGTTTTTCCAAAGGGTATTTTTAGTGGACATGCCCTTGTGGCTAATGGGTATTGGGGTTATAAAAGCAAAATCGCTTGGACGTCTCACTCAAGTGTCGCCCAGACCTAATATCCCCTCCCCTTAACCCCCTAAAGGCCCCATTGGACAAAACGGGGAGGGGCACCACGCACTCTGGGAAGACAATTTAAAATGTTGAAAAATGCTCAGCTAATTGGCAGTTGACAGCGTCGAGAGCCTGGGATTGGCTTGGCCCACAAAAAAACAACACAGACATCGGGCGAGCGCAGGGGTTAAGAAGCGGGCGGTGGGGCCATGAGCTGTAGGGGCATATAAATTTAATTTGGTTTATAAAAAGTGCTTGAGAATGTAGAGTGGTGTGGTGGGGGGGGAGAAATGCTGAAGTGGTCGAGCGAACAACAGCTGAATAAAAAGGGGGATGGATGATGGGGCGGCAGAGGGTTAAGGGGATTCGGATCTAATGGCAGCCAAGTGGCCACCAAAGCCAACCCCCTTTGCTAATCCAAAAAGAAAAAAGCCAAAAAAAAAAAAAAAAAAACAAAGAAAAATTAAATTAAAAAAATTAAAAATGAAATAAAAAAAGCGAGCGGCGAGCGACGAACGAACGAAAAAGTTTCGAAGCCGAAAAAAGAGAGTTTTTCGTTTTTGGCAAAGAGATGAAGAAAGGAAAAGTTTAATCGGAAATTCTTCAGAGAATACTTTTCCGGCTGCGGCAAAGGAATTTTTCCATTTCATCTAGCCAAAGAAGTTTCTCATAATCGACACGACGACCCCTTTACACAATCAACCCCCTTGTCTTGAATGCATTTGCATATCCCAACTCTAATTTATATGATAAGTGGGAGGACGGCAGGGGAAAAGTCGAGGAGAAATCGGGGAGAAGAAGACAGGACACAAAAATCGATGCCTTAGTTTTTTGATTATAGAGGGTCTATATATATACATACATACATACATATATTCCCATGCCAACCCGTAACAAATAAAAGTAGCCAAAAATGAGCTGCAATAACAAATCAAATTATATTTACATAATAAACGAATAAAGGATAAATGTTGAAAGGGCACCGCACTTCCCCTTCCATCCTTCTCGTCCGAATTTATTCATACACAGTATATATCTAAATATATATCTAAAATGTGATTGGCATATTTCGTATTTAGTCATAACGAGTCTCTGCCACAAATAAAAAAAAAAGACAAAAAAAAAAAAGAGGTAACACAATTGGATCTATAAACTAAAATTAAACTAGGACTGTTGTATTTTATGGCAATGGGTTCGGACTTAGCAAAGTTCTTACTCCAGGGGAAGATTGGTTGGGTCTCCTTTTATAGGGAAGTACACTTATTTTGATATATATTTGATCGAAGTTCACTAATTCATACTACAACCATTGGAGCAGACATTAAAACATACGTTACTTTTTTTTATACATATTTGAAATAGAAACATCAAAAGCAGGAACACTCCATTAATCATATCTATTTACTAAAGAAAAGGACTCCCATTTATATTCCTTGGAGCTAGGCAACCATCTTCTTCCACACCCGGGGAAAAACTTTACATTTTCCTGAATGTCTCCCTTAAAACATAGGTTAACAAAACAATCGATCATTGAATATAAATAAATTAGGGCTAAAATATTTACAGGCATTTTGCGTAGCGAAGTTTTCTCAGCTTAGATCTTTAATAAACCGTATTAACCGTATTTACCGTAGTTTAGTTTAGTTTAGTTTAGTTTAGTTAGTTACTTTGTTACTTTGTTTTTTTTACATGCTCAAGTACAGTAAGTCATTTATAATAGTTTACTTTGTTGTTAATTCAACTGCGTTTGTCTAGGTATAAACATTTAAAAATTTTGAAAAATATTTACTTTTGATTTAAGTGGTTTACCTTGCTAGATTTTTTGTTTTCAATTTTCTTTCTTTTTCTTTTACGCGCTATATTTAATTTAAGTTTAAAGACGACGAAAAATTAAAAAGAGATGCATGATATTTTGTATTTGTATTAATTGGTTTTTCACTTGTTTTCTTTTTTTATCCTGAGATAAAAACAAATGTTTGTTTGTTTGTATGTTTGCAAGCGAGCGACGACGATTGACAAAAAATTTGTAGCAATTTGTTGCATTTAGTTTGGTGTATGTAGTTGGTTGGCCGCTGGCCCCTAGTCTATAATATATAATATATATAATATAATAATATAATATAATATATATATATATATATCCGTAACCGTAACCGTTAACGTAAATGTATCTGTATCTTAATCTTGATCTTGATCTGCACTTGTATCTTTAGTTGCGTCTGCTTGTATAACTATGATATATATATATATATATATATATATATATAAATATGTATGTATATAGTAAATGCGTTAAGTGTATAATATAGTTGGTATATGTATATAGAGCTATGTACGTTAATCATGCGTGTTTATATGACTGCGCTGGTTTGGCATTGGGATCTACGAATGGCAGAGGATAAAACTTAAACTTAGTTGAGCGAACGTTGCTTGACTTTCTAATCCGATTCGAATCGATTCGATTCGATCTGATCTATCCTATCGAAAAACAATACAGGACTTTTTTAATTTTACGTTTTTTTTTTTGGGAGGGGGAGGGGGAGGGTTGTGGGAATAAGACTAACTAACGCGGTGAGGGGTATGTACACAGTTGTCTTCGCGTCCTTTGCTTTTTGGGGTGCAGAATATCACATAGTCAGACATCTATATATATACGACTACAAGTTCTCTGGTTTATCCTCCTTAGACATGCAGCGTGGAGGCGTCCAATGAATTCCTGGAGCATGAGGTTCGACCTATCAATGTGGCCGTGTCTGCACTGTCCGCATCCAGGGGGAAACGCTTGCGCTGCGGACGCAAAAACAGGAACATAACCAGCAGGGCCAAAAAGAAGGCCAAGGCTCCAAAGGCCGGATATACCACACCGCCCAGTTCGCTGGGCGTGGGCAGGGCACTGATTATATATACCCGATCCGTGGGTCGTATATGGATGCGTTGAGAATGCTCCAAGGGATCGTTATGCTCCACAGACTGCTCTGTTTGCTCCTGTGTCCTTGGCGTGGTCGTAGTTGTGGTCGTTGTTGTGCCCACCAACTGACTGGTGTCCACATTCAGTTTAATCGAACGGCGCATCACACCGGTGAGCTATAGAATTACAAATTGAAAGAATAATATAAAATTTTAATACTTGAAGAACATTCATTTCTTTAGCAACTCATATAAATCTTCTTCTGTTAAACCCTATAAGCTTTTCTTGAATGTTATAAATCTTTTATCTAAATAGTAAGATTTGTATCTGCTTAGCAATAAAATATGTCTCCCATTGTGCTGTCCCATCGCTGTCCCAGAAATCTTTTGATATTTCAAAACAATAAATTAAGGTAAAGATTAGATTTCTAACAGATCTTGTACCTCTTATCATCTCTAGTTTAGTTAACCCACTGCCTTACAAAGTATTATCTCTTTTTGTTAACCCTAAACCTTATGACTTTTTTAACTTTTTCTAAAATATATCTCTTTCTTCCTTAGTATAAACTTAATATAGACTCACCTTATGCTTGCACTTGACCTGGATATTGTAGACTGTGTCCGGCCACAAGGACAGTTCCGCCCGGGCTGTGTCGGTGAGTAGATTCCCGATGAGGCCGCCACCGGACACCTCCCAGGTGACCAGGCACTGGCGTGAGGCATTCGCTATCAACTCATCCCAGCCGATATCTGTGAGGACGAGCGACTCCTGACGCTGGGCCTTTAGAATTCTCAGCTCGAAAGGTGCCACTAGCTTTTGGCAGCACTGTGCGGTGGGGGGAAGGTAGAATTCCAACGATTCCACAAGGAGCGAGCAAGGACAACGCCCAAGGCAGGGCACGAAGCGTTAAGGAAAGGAAAGCAGAACGGAACGGAAAGTTAGCTATTTGTCAATTATTTCTTGTAATTATGTGGCGCGCCCGCAGGTAGGCAATGAAATTTGTTCATCCTACGGTTGCCACTTTTCGCCCCCAAGCGACAGCGTTTAACCCATTAAGGCCTGACTGTTTTCACTTGGAATAATTCATGTCCTTGCCGTGTAAGTGCCTAAAAATGTTTACGGTTGACAATTTACGGTGCGGCATTAACCCTTTTTGCCAGCCGGCTGGCGATAATAAATGTAGATTTCATTTCGAGCATTTAAAAAGATACATCTCTGGAGGAATTTTAAAATTGTTTAATTTCATAATAAAATAAAAAAACAGAATGGCAAATAAAGTTGTCTGTTTGCGCAATTAAAGGTTTTAATTTAAAGTCAAAGAAGTTTTTTAATCATTTTATTTTTATATAAAAAATCTATTAAGTTCGTTAATCTAGTATCCATGATGATGGCTCAGATATATGACTATAACCGCGAGAGTTTATACTCTTTTTTTGCGAGCAGTTTTAAGCCAGTATTAATGGGTTAATGACATCGTTAGGCTGTCACACAAAGACAAACTTGAATGGAGATACTTACGTTTGTGCAATCAACGGAATCCTTACAATAATGCCAGTCCTTGGAAAGCTGCAAAGAGTCGGAGACAGGACAAAGTTAGTTAGTGGGCGTGGCCTAATCGAATTTTAAGTAAGCTAGCAAAAAGTAATCAGGCCCAGGACCCCAGGCAGCCAGGACAAACAACAAGGAGTCATCAGCAGCCTCCATTTTGGCCCCATCCTACTATCTTATGGCCTCAACAATAGACGCAAATTTGTAACTTGTAATAAAAGGCAAAGCAGGCAGAAAAAAAAAAAAGAAAAGTCTATGTAGATATACAGCAGCGGTCAGAAAAATATACAATACTCGTACTATTACTATACGATAAAAGTAAAATTCAAAAAAAAAGTTCTAGAGAAAGCAGAAGAAAAGGGTTAACATTTGCATATCATTGTAAGCTCTTAGGCGACTTTTTAAGTTTCTTAAAATCACTACAAAGTAGGTGTTTAAATCTTTGGGGACTTACTGTTTGTAAAGTTAAAGTTTCCTATACAATGTTGCAGTTTCTAAGACATTACAATAGAGCTACTAATCCCAATATTGCAACCAATAGACCATTTAGTAATGAAGCTGATACTTTGGTTAATTGCTTGTTGTTTTGAGCAATTCCGGTAATCCCTGTGCTATTCTTTTGACCGTTTCTGTACACAAGTAAATGACCACAAACGTTTGTGTTCGTCTATGGCGAATTGAAAATTTCACGCTCCTGGCAATGAGGATAATGAGGAGGATTGCCGTGACAGGACGTGGACGAGGCTATAGCTGAGGCTGAGACTGAGGCTAAAGCTGAGGATGATAGAAGGGGCAGGAGGATCGGGATCAAAACCGGACTGCCTGCTTAGCCTTTGTCAACTGTCGCCTTAGTCTCAAAACAGCTGAACTGAACGGAACAAAATAGAACAGCGGGCAGTACGTAGTGGCCAGGACACAGGGCACAGGACTCACGACCAGTAACCCCCATCTCCTGCTTCTCATTCTCATCCTCCTGTCCGCAGTCCTTTTATGAATGAGCAGGCAGAGAAACAGACAGCAAGACAGGCAGGCAAACAGACAGACAAACACAGATAGATGAATGAGGGAATGAGTCGACAGCGATTAGAGATGGGTGCGTGACAAATTGTTATGACTCGGAATTTACAATATTAAAAAAATCAAACGAGGCGGTCCAAACAGATCTCAATTCTTTGGGCATTCGTTTTTGGGATTTTCGGTTTTTCCGGTAAGGGAATGGGGAGGGTTTAAATAACCCTAATATTGCATTTAGGCAGCAAGCCAGATTTATGGTTATTGCATTTGCCATCGGCATTGAATATATGAAATCTTTATCTACAGTTTCACCCGATTGGTCATACTAGTTAATTTCGAAATCTGATTGAATTGTATACTCGATTTTTTACGAAATTATCCACGGAGTTTTAGATTATGGATGGCATCTCTTAGGTTTTTCTACATTTAAATTAAGTAAGTGTGTGGACCCAAAACCTTGTTTAATGTCACTAAGCTAGTATTAAAATCAATAATAATAATAGCTGCCCACACTTACAGCCTAATGTTTGCCTAACATGAAACATGTGTACATAGCATTTAATTAATCCTTATCATAATAACCGGCCAACAGCTGGGAATTATAATCGTTTAATTGACCTTTGGCTACCTCTAGGCAACACTACTAGAAGTTTTTCCACCTTGAATTACTTTGATTTTTACACAAACAACCAGTTCTAATTTTAGTTTGATCTTTTAGGTTATTATTTCGTAATAAAGAAAGGATAAAAAACTATGTTTCTGAAAGAAATTCTTATTAATTTAACTCAACTTCTAGGAAAATCATGTTAATGCTTGAAAACTCTCACTAATTTCCACTTTCATTCCACTAAAATCCTACAGCAATCTGTGAAAAAGAATCTAAATTTCTTCCTGAGCAGCTAAATCGTTTTTTTTTTGTCTTAAACTTAAACTAACCCGACAGTATCGCCTTGCTCAATCGTACCTTGGCAACCTTAAGCCACTCTGATGCTATCTAGCTCTCTAAGCCCTTAAATGCATCTGTACTTTCTGCAAATGTAGCATCTACTTGCATCTGGATCGATCATCCATCACGCTGGCAAAAAGAAAAACCCGCTGGACAATGGCTGCCATCACCTTTTGGGCCAACTTTGACGGCGGCACTTTGTCATCATTACACAATAAGGCAGGAAAATCAGTAAAATCGGGGAAACGGAAAGGGAAAGGGAACAAGAACGAGAACGAGAACGAGAACGGGAAAATGAGCAGAAGGAGGAGGAGCAGTAAATTGAGGGGCAGGAGGAGAAGGACCAAAACCAAGCAGTTGTGGCAGATAAAAACGACGAATGCCAAAAGGAAAATCGCAAAGACAACATATTTTCCGCTCAATTGAATTTTTGGCCTCTGAAGATGTAGACGATGTAGTTGATGAGGGGAGGATTGCGAATGGTTGAGGATATGGATGTGGATGTGGATGAGGCCTGAACCTGAAACAACTTGGGCGATAAGTAACAACAATAAGGCGTTCAGAATGAATGAATAAACGAATGAATGACCGAATGACTGAATGAAAACGCTGAACTGGCAAATCTTTTGGCCGACGCGTCTGTCGGCTTTCCCCGTTTTTCTTCCATTTCCCTCGCTTTCCACACACAGTCTCGAGTATTTAAGACCCACTGCCATTGCCACTTCCACTACGACCACTACTACTACCTGGCCCAAAATGTGTCTGGGCCATATAAATTAAACGCAGGCAGCGACAACTTTTACATGCAATTGCCCTGGTATTTCACACCCCGGCAACTGCACTTGAAGAAAAGTGTCAAAACTCCCACCTAAAAATGGGAAAATCACCTTTGATGTCTCTAAATGGGGGAAAACATAGAACCTTTTCCTAAACCAGGTAAATCCCTGTTTCTTTTGTAGGTTTATTTTACTTTTGTTTCTGTAAATTAAAACCATTTTCTAAATACTTTTAAAACAAAGCAAATATATGGTAAATTTGAAGCAAAAAAATACTTTTTTAATACCTAATCTTGTTTCCGTCTGTGCTAAAATTTGTAAAATTAATTTACAGCCAAACAAGAGTACATGGTTTTCCACGATGACTTTGCAGAGTTCTTGAACTAGTTTTCCATTTCGGCAAGTGTGGGAACGGGAACCGGGCACATGACTCCGTAGGCCACATAAATTACCAAAGTTGGGTCAGTCAGTCAGTTTTTTGAGCGGCTTTTATGAGACACGTACGCATACGTAGATATATTCGATGATTCCACCACCAGCAGCGGCCAAACTACGTGCCTCGCATATACATCAAGATCGAATCTTCCGGCCGTCGAACCAGCCAAAAAAAAAAAAATAAAATATATATAGAAATACCCACCCAACCATTGGAGCGCCCATTGAACCACCCATCCAACACATCCAAAGTGAAGGAGGAAAAGTCTTTCATGGTGTTAATTTGGCGCTGATTGAGCAACGCATTCGCATTCGCATTCCCCGTTCTTGGGTATCCTGTTCTCAATTCTGAGTTACCAATTCTCAGTTTTTGGGGGTTGTACGAACGAAAGGATGGATGGATGGGTGGATTAGTTCCAGTTAGTCCTGCGAACCGAGCATGAAATTAGCCCGGCCTGCAACCCCTAAGAACTTTTGACTTTCGGCGAGGCGATGCCAGGCGAGGCATCCTGCATTACCACCACCACCATTGCCACCAACACTCCACATCTCGACAACACCACCCATCCCATCTAAAACTCTTGGGTGGACTTCAAAGGGCATATCCGATGGAGATGATGACGGTGATCAGGAATGCAGACAGCACACAGGCGAAAGCTTAAGTATTTCGTGCCTAAAATCTGCAATTTCGGACTAAATAATCAACAAAGATTGGCATAACTAAAGCCAAAAAGCCTAGCCCATTTAAAGGAACACAAGAACATTCGAGTGTAAGACATTTATAGCCAGCATCTGCCATTTCAATCCGAATAATCAGTAAAGATTGACATAAACAAAGGCAAGATTTTTGGGGGAGAAAAGTTCTCATATAATGATGATCAGACAACGCCCTAAACAGTAGTGAGTTAGTCATATTTGGCAAGCATATAATTGACTTGTAAAAATAGATGATTCTTGATGTGATTATCAAGTTAAGATTTAACATATTTATACTATTAGTCTATATATATTTAAATGCTGTGAAAACAGGAATAAACATACAATAAGATTGATAAAAGCCAAGATGTTGTTCCACTTTTTATAACCACCTATGATGAGCAATTGTATAATCTTGTATCAAAATGCTACCGAACTATATTTGGACAAATTGCTGGCTTGCTCTCGAGTTAAATCAATAAACTTAGGGTCTATATTTGGATGTAACTTGGCGTTTCTCTAGAACGATTTCGAGTGTCGTAGACTGTCCGAGTGTCTTGGCCTCTCGAGTTTCATCCCATGTTTCTTTGTAAGTGTCGCCACAGCACTCATGAGCACTCCTCGAGTCAATTGGGTTGGCTGCTTTGCTCTGTTCTGTGCTCCGTTCTGTGCTGTTCCTTAGTTCTGGTTCCTCCAGTCTACAGTCTCCACTCGAACAATAAACCCAAACCCATGCCGTACACCTCGTCGCCACAGAGAGCTCGGCTTACTTGGAAATCGGAGATGATATTTATACTCTCGTGTTTTTCCCACTTGATTTATGTGTACTTTTTGGATTGGGAGTTTATGCGCGGCGCTGGAGGAGTGGGTCGGATCGAATTGATATGAAAATTTGATTTGATTTCATTTGATTGAAATTTATTAACAATCCATAGTTGTCAACCACCGCCACCCTGTGTTTCCGATATCGTTGACAGATCAGTGCGGTTCCAGGAAGTCACGCATTTAAAAATCAACTGGGCAGACTGTTGGAAATCTTTGGGAAACTTCTAGCCGTCTAGATTTCAATCCATCGGGGACGTATTCAAAATTATTTCGTTGGGGGGATCGGTTACATGAAATCGAGGGGCACAAACTCAAATCCCTGGGGTTTCAAAGTTTGTTTTTAGGGGGAAAACAAAAGAAAGTGTCAACTCAGAGTTTCGGAATGTGTAGCGTACGGGGGTGAGTCAGTTCGATTGTAGTGGCATTTTCAACTTGAATTTGCTGCTCGAAAAAGTTTGTTATTCATATTGATTAGTTTGGGGTTTAGTTTTGTGTATTTACTTGCTTTCGTTAGCTTATCAACTTTGAATTTGCGGTGATTTCAATTATTTTGAAATTTCTAGTTAAGTTTATGAGCTAAAAGATTTTTCAAAGAAATAACTATGTTGGTATACTAAGACAATCTTGAAGTTTCTTTGAAAACTTCGGTAAAAGTGATAGTGATTTATCAAAACGAGAGTTATTTCTCCTCATTCCACTTTCGATTGTCTCGGATTTTTCGCTGTCATTTTTCAAAACTCTTTTTTTTCTTCGTTGATCTCTTTGGCTTCTTCTTCAGATCCCATTGTTCTTCCCACCTGCTCTATTTTTAAAAAGGTATCTCCTTTTCCTACAAGAACTGCCTTCTACTTCTTTCAACTGCCCATCCATCTGTGACAGCTTTGAACAAATTCGATCGGAGAGCTTTATTCCTGCGTTTGATTTGTTTTTCCTTTTTTTTTTTGATTATTTTTTTTGTTTTTGGCCATTGTCTACAGACGGATCAAATTCAATTCCCGATCTCTATTAGCGACGCTCGACCACCCAGTTGACATCTTTCTAGCGACCGGCGGCGGACTGACTACCTGAGCGGTAACAACAATAATAACCGGCAACAGAAGCAGCAGCGGCAATAGCTGCGATGTCAACCCGTAGATAAAAGATAAAAGACCCAGCGAGCGGGCATAAAAAATGACGTCGCCTTCACGAACCCGAGTTCCCGAACCATTGTCATTGTCATCGACATCCACGTCTCCTAACCTTGAAGGTCGGTGTCGTCCAGGGCACAACTGTCCCTACCTACCTACACGCCGAGAAATGAAGGGGTGGGTCCGGGGCCAATTCGGCATGACCTCAATTAGGGCAATCTTAATCGCATTAAATAATACCTGACGGAAGAGCGATGCACTCAAAGTTACTGGGAAAAGTCACCGTCTTGAGAAATATATTTTCTTTAAGTCGATCCTCAAGCCTTTAACATAAATATATTTACATATATTCTTAAGTCTTTTTCTAAGAGAACTGCAGACTTATAACATGATTGCAAATAATACAAACTCATAATATTGGTAGTTTTTGATTTACAACTTTCTTACACATACATAAGCTAGAAAAGGGAAAGGTAATAGCCATACCTGAGAAGTTGATTACCTTACCCTATCCTAAACCCTAAAATTCTTACTTGGAAATCATTAAGGAAATTTTCAACCCCAGACATCTATTGTCGCCTCGATAGGCTAACCATTTTTCAGGAAATGCGGTTTTGAAATATGAATAAATTAGGAATACAAATGATGCAAAACCCTTCTGACAATGTTCAAGGAATGAAAAATAACAAAAACATGCAAATTTCCAAATGTTAATTATCATGAGAATTTCAAAAATCATGTGTACTTGAAGAAGTTAACCATGTCGAGTCATGAACTCGTCTGAATACCCATTTAAATATCATCAGATCAGCACCCTTAAGTTAGATTTAATATATATCCTATTTAAAATTAAGTTTTAATCTTGATTAATCTGCTACAAATGTGAATATCTATTAGAGTTCCATCAATATCATCTTAAACAAAAGGTCTCTAATAAATATCTATCAGAACTGCCTGTTAATCCAAATCCAAATCTAATAACTGCAGGTGGTTGTCCTGCTTTATTTTTCCCTGTGTACCCTTACCCAGCGAATACCCTATCGGTTATATTGCCGCTCAACTGGGCATACAACTGTCCATCAAACGAACTGCTGGGATCGAAACGGATCCGATCCGATCCGAGGTCTTATCTTGGGTTCTGAGTCTGGAGTTTATGAGTCTGGGGCCTCGACGAGCAATTGCCCTCTTATTCTTACTCTTAAATACCATATTCGAGTATAGCATTTGGTTTTTATTTGTATTCGTACCTGCTGATAGCAACTTTGACGGCATCTGTTCAGCTGTTTGCCGGTAAAGGGGGCGGCTGCCAGGGCAGGGGCAGGGGCGGAGGATGTTGGGTCTGCTCCTGGTCTCGATACCGATACCGATGCCGATAGTGATAGAGACTTCGATCGAGAGGGCACCGCCTCCTGGGCGAATGTGAGGGCGGCAAGGGCGCAGGCCATCAAAACAAGTGAGTGGAACATGTTGTCGTCGTCCTCGTGCCTCTGTTTCTGATTCTGGCTCCTCTTTTTGCCTGGTTATTCTTCTGCTTCTCCTCCTTTCTTGTTGTCCTGCCACTCCCTCTTTTTCTCCAATGGGCGTGGGCGTTGACTCGTGTGTTCGTATATATGTGTGTGTGTCAGTGTGTTGTTTTGTTGTGTGTTTTTGCGCGTGTGTGTGGGCGTGTGTGTGGGCGTGGAGAGCGGTGTGCTCAGCAGATTGATTAATTGATTGATTTTGTTTGTTTATTTTCGTATCAAGTGTTGTTGTTGCTCTTGTTGTTGTTGGGGCTGGCACATAATAATCGCAGCGTCGACTGCATTTAGTCAAGCGGAGCAGTAAATCCTCTCCTTCTTTTTGTTTCGCCTCCTCTTGATTCTCTTTCTCCACCTTCTTTTGCTCCCCGTTAACTGTTACAGTTAACTGTAACTCCACATGCTGGGCGACAACAACAACGACCACAAATAGCGTTGCCTCTTTTATTTATTTTTGTTTTTTTTTTTGTGTTCTCTTTAACTTGCTTTATTTGTTTGACTTTGTTATTTGAGTACCAAGTACCAAGTATGTAACAGTTAACACACGTGAAAAAAAAGTGAACAGTAATCGTAACGTTTGTTAAATATACACCCGAAAAAGACGACAATAACAACAGAAACACACAACACACGGAAGACGACGAACGCGACGTAAAGAGAATTTAATGTACAACGCGAACTGTGTTCTGTGTGCGAAATTTCAATTTCGATTCCAAGAGCCGAACGACCAAACCTGCGTCCTCGAGGGTAAATGCTGCTCTGAAAACAGAGAGCACACACAGCACAAAAACCGAATTCGAAACAGCTCAGCAACAACAGTTCGGCACAGAACTGTCAGGCAGCGAGATAAAAACAACAACAACAAGAACAGCAGCACCAGCAACAACTACTGCAGCAGTAGCAACAAAATTAGCTATAGCCAGATATGGCTACAATCTGGTTTTCAAATATAAAATATGTGTGTTTTTTCACAAATTATCCAACCAGAAAAACTCTTGTGCAGTTATATTTATGCCTAAATCAATGTTATAAGTTAAAAACTCTAAAATATTAACAATACAGGGGTTATAACTAACTAAATTGACTGAGAGCGGCATATTTAGTTATTAGCTATTTTTCTATCCACTTTTTGTTAGTTCTTGAGCATCTCTGTGTTGATGGCTCTCGAACTCAAGCACCGAACACGTTGCAATCGAACACAGTTGGAAGGAGTTTGCTAGTTGGCAGGTTGTACGTTGGAAGTTGCAAGAAGCGGAGTCTGTGAGTCTGTGCCCAGTGCTTTGTGTTGTTGGTTGGGTGGGGGTGGTGAAAGGGAGGGGCTGGAGGAGTTTGTTGGGGGCTAAGGTTGCACTGGGTTGCCTTGGGCTCGGCCTCTTGGGTTGGGTTGGGGTTGGGTTAGCTCCCGGGTTAGCTCTTTGATGATTCTGGGGTGGCAAAGCAGAAAGCCAAAACCAAAAGGTTCTCCTCTCTCCTTCTTCTTCCCCCTCCTCCTTCCCCTCTCTTAGTGCCCATCCCCCCTCTACCCGTCACTGCGGACATGCAGATGAATCAAAGCGGCCGCTGATTATAGCAACAATATGGAAATGCCGCTACCCTTAACCCCCTATTGCCCACCTTATAGGGGCATTGTTTATTTATACCCAAGTAAATGTGTGCGTGTGTGCGGAGGTTTTTATAACCTCCATTTGCCAAAGTATAGTAAATTCTTTCAAAGCGTGTACTACATTTATTATTTAAGCCACGCTGCCTCTGCCTCCAATGCTGGCCCATTGTTTTAGTCTGTTTTCCTATGTCTGTTTTACCGTATTAGCCGCCCCATGCATAAAGTAAAGCACCCGTTTCCATTTTACCCCAATCCTCTATCCATATCCATATCCCTATCCCGTTCCCTATCCCATCCTCTCCCCTACTTCAAGTTTATTTGCATATTTTGACTTTTATGCGGCAAAAATATTACAGACTGCGCTGCCAGCAAACAATATCATACCCCTTATCCCCCATATCCCCCTTAATCCCCACCCCTGACCATCCCCCAACAACACCAAAAACGTTAATAAAGCTAGAGAAGAGCCCGCGTTCAAAAAAAAAACTTAAGCACAGGCCAACTTCTGTAGATGAAACTTTTGAAAAGGTTTTCCACAATTTTTGTATTGTTTAAAGAATACTATTTGCTTTATTTAAACTGAATTTAACTAAAATATAGCATAGAAATGTTAAATAATAATTATTTAAAAACATTGACTAAAATTTGAAAGAAACTATAAAAAAAATTAGATTATTAGACTATTTGTATCGAATTTGATATTTAATTCGAATTAAGGAAGCTGGACTGTTTAAACGAAAAGTGAAGAGGAAGTGGAAGTGGAAGCGAGGCGAAAAAACATTTTTTCCCCGACTTATTTTTTCGGGAGTCCCGGGAAAAGTTTTTGGGTTTTGGGGCGCTGGGCTCTCGGCTTATGACTCCATTGCAACATGTTGCATGTTGGAAATTGCCAAAAAACAAAATATGAAAAGAAATGCCCGCAAAGAAAGCAGCAACAAAAACAAACCATAGCGACAGCGAAAAGCAAAAAAAATAGACAAGGTGGCTTCGAAATTTATGCGCCCATGGCGAGCCATTTGCAGTGCTCAACTTTTTGGTACAAACTCCCGTTTACTTTAGCCCCCCGAACGCCCTAGACCCCCTAACTGCTCTAAAACCCAACGCCACACACAACCCTCATTCAATCCTACCCACATCTCCACCCCTTTTTCCATTTCATTCCGCCGCTCTTTGAATTTCCATTTTCATTTTGCGGTTTTTGTTGTTGCGTGTGGCGGCTATCCAATAAATAAAAGAGCCGCAAAGAGAACGCGGAAAAACCGTTAGACCTGTCGCAACATAACGGTGAACTGTCGAAATGATCGCAGGCGGAAGGGAGAAAGAGACTCTCTTCTTGATAGAGCTACTTGACGAAAAAGAAGATGTCAGGTGAATACACACAAACAAATATGATAATAAAGATCAATTTAAGGAAATTATTAAACACTTTTAAAAACAAATTTAAAAAACAAATGTGGGACTATAACAGAGGTTGTCGCAAATTTAGAATTCATTTTACACTAACATTATTAATTTTATTGCAGCAAAATATACGATGCCTTTAAAATATGTATTATTTATTGTCGGAGTTTTCTCTAAGTGATTCCCATTAGTTCATGAGATACTGTTGAAAGTTTTTCTTCCTGAAACATTTCACCGGAGTTATTGTTTGTACTAGGATGCTCCTTCAATTACAGCTGCGGCCAAAATAATAGAAGATGGGCCAAAATGCAAATGAATCACGCCCAACGAAATGAAACTTTAACTTCTTGGTAAGAAATACAAATTATCTTACATATTTCGAAGCTATTTGTGTTGCTTCTTTCTACATCACCTTTGGAAATACTTTTAAAAATGTTAAAATGAAGTTTAAAGTAATAATTTGGTTTGGGTAAAGTACAAATTTTCAAAAATATACATCATGTAATATGTAATATAGATATATTGCATCATATTTTTCTTACAGTGTAAAAGCAATGTTTCAAACAGTCCCGCATTGCACTTGCTTTAGTTTTAGTTCCAGCTCGAGTTTTGATTTACGCACTGCGTAACGCATTTTTGAAATCACGACCAAAGTCTCTGGAATGGGTAAAACTTTTCCGAAGCATCTTTGACCATTTCCCCTCGGCCTTCCCGCCCATGGAGTCTCCCCCTTTTTGGCCCGATAAATCCAAAGTCCGGCAGCAGCTGGGCGCTTCCGGCGCAGCATTAATGAGGGGTTGGGGGCGGTAAAAAGGGGGCGGCGTGAGATGGGAGACATGTAAGTAGAAATGAAAACGAAGCACAATGAGCACATCCGGCCTTGTTATAGAGGGAAGGGGGAGAAAATAGCGATAGGGGTAAGCCTGCACTATGAAAAACAAGTCAAAGACTTAGAATCAAAGTCTAACCAAATCATTAAAATATCACTTTTTTAAGAAATTATATATATATTTCGTAATAATTTTACATTTCCTCATATCACATTTTATATTTATTATATTAAATTTACTTTTAGAAGTGGAACAGTTAACTTTTGCAAAATGTTTTCAGCTTACATTATTCTTCTATTAATTGGAAAAGCAATTAAGGGGTCACTCATCCTATACATCAAAATGCTGATCAACTTAACTTTAAACGAACAGTTTGGGGATTTTTAGAAATTTTAGCTTAAAAAAACTGCATACTGCCTGTAATTTGTTAGGGCCAGCTGAGGATTTTATGCCAGTGCAGCTGTGGGTTAGATGGGCCAGACAAACGGGCTGCATTTTGGCCCCCGTCCCAGAAATCCCCCCATTCTCAGGCCATTAAGAAATTTGAAATTCTTGAAAAATTAGCAGTGCAACATGGAGGAATAAAGAAGAAACCGAAGCGAAGCGGAGAAGAAAGCGAAACCAGGCGAACTCTTCGCCGAGAATAATTAATGGAATTTTTGAACTTTTAGTGCAAAATGCCTGCGAGACAACTGCTTGAACAGCATTTTCATTGATGCTCCTGGCTGCATGCGCCACAAATAAATTTGTCGTCGACTCTCTGGCAGATTGTTGCAACTGCTTATAGCCCCTTGTGGCCCCCGCCTTGCCACCCCTCAAAACAAAATACCAGGCGTTGTGAATGAAAATAGAGCAATTTGCATTATTCGCATTCGAGCAGATTTCGCTTTAATGAATTGCACACAACTTGCCAAGAAATAAAGATGAGCACAAAGTACGGTATGGTAAATGAGATACGTCTGCATCTGTCTGACTTGGCACTTTGTCTACAGAGGAGTGGTATTGGGGTGCATACATACATAGTAGCATCGTTCTCTATCTCCTCCTCGCAATGATCCCAATCCTTCGATGTCTGATATTGGGATTGGGGTGTCTGAGTCGGTGTCTCCGCAATCGGAATTCGCTCATCTCCATCAAAGTTAATGCGAAATATCATTTGCATTCGGTCTGCGGAGATCGCCAAATGAAAAACCAACCAACAGCTGTGTGTCTGATTCGCCATATTTCGTTGTCAAAAAAGAACAAGGGGAAAATAAAGCACGAAAAGCTGAAATTCGGTATGCTCTAGCGAATGCGTTCCACTTGAAATCACCACACACATTTTTATAGCCTACTTTTAGCCACTGCAGTCAGCGGTTTTCAAATTCCGTAAACTAAAACGGAAAAAACAGGTAGTATGTGAAATGAAACGAAATAAATATTTATTTATAAACAGAAGTATCCAGAAATTTATCTTTTACTTAACTTTTACTTCATTTCACTTTCCTAAAAATCAAATTTCATTGTCTATGAATAAACCGGAATTATTTCACTAGAGATTTCTTTAGAACCCCAGCATATCTGGTAATTCGATCTGGTTAATAAAATCAAAAGCGCTTCCCTGGTTGTCTGAATTTCTATATATACCCACTTTAAGGGTAACATCGAGGAAAAAAAAAGAGGAAAGCGAACAAACGAGCCATAACTCATGTCGGCATGTTCATTAAATGTGCTACGTTTGTCCAGTAACTGGCAGTGTCTACTGCCTACTGGCACATTCAGTTCCACATCCACTGTAAATGTAACTGTAGCTGCCACTACCACTGCCACTGCCACTGCCTTTTCGCCCACTGTCAAATGCACCGGAGCACCGGCCTACAAAAGGGGGTGGCGTATTCGTATTTTATTGTCTATGTGCGCATATGGTCAGCTCATTGTGCAGTCAGTTGTATTGCCATTATCATCTGCGACAGCCATCAGCGTGCTCATCGTGCGGCGATTAAAGCGCCCTTCATCCAGTCGCAGATACGTGTTACATCTATCATATATCTCATACAGTGTGACTTCCATAACTCCATCTGGAACCACCATCTGCCTACAAAATGTTTGAGTTTCAGATACTTTGAGTTGAATAAAAAATATTTTACAATTTTATAGTTATCGAGGGTGTCAAAGAAATCACTACGGTTTATCATCACTTACATATGTATCTTCTTTAAAAGTATATTTAGATTAGATTAGATTATATTTCAAAAAATTATAACTATTATTATTATTTTCTATTATAAATAGTTTTAAAGATGAAATTATGCTATATGTATATATTTGTGTACTTGAATGTACTATAACAGTTCGCTTTAGGGAAGTTCGACTGTTTAACTGGGGGTGGGTGGATGTGGGCTCGGTTCGTGGAAATCGCTGAAAATGTGGAAAACCGCGTCCCGTTTGCTGACATTTGTCCTCGGCGGCCGGCAAAATGCACATGTGGCCGGCCCCTCGGGGCCCAATGATATTAATGTTGCTGCTGGAAAATACCTACAGCGAATAAAAAATAATGGGAGCGAGCTGGGATTGATTTAAGCCAGCTGTGGAGGACTGCATCAAAAACCCATCCAACATGCAATCCCATAGAACATGTCATTCTTGTGCTGAGGCGAGAACAATTTGCACTCGGTCGGATTATGTTTCGGGTGAAAGATAATGACTCGACATATGTATGTACATACATACATATGTATGTACATATGTAAGTACATACATCAATACACATGTAAATATTTATGGGCTTACTCAAAAAAACAAAAGCAAACACATGTCGGCTTGTGTTTGTTTATATTTTCTGTATTTACAACTAATATTTTGATTTCTAAGTAACGAAAACCAATTATAATTATTATAGATATTTTAAATCATAGACATTGCAACTATGAATTCCCAATCAGAAAATTATTCAACAAAATCAAGCTCCAATGCTAAGAAATTCTTATACGATATATCGGAAATATCGGAAGTGGTTTTACCGCTCCAACCAAGAACGGTCACACGGAAAAGTTGTATCTATTGCTAATGGTTTCTCTTCAGGTAACAGTTTTTTGCATGCATTTTTTGGTAAAACGAGGAGGGGCGACGCCAAAGCTGTAACTTGCTTATACTTGTAGAGTATATAAAGGTGATTCGGCAGGCGCAAGGCGCCCGTGTAATAGTGAGTCAGAGCACGCGTGTGTAACAGTGTATAGAAAACAAAAATCGACAAAAAAATACAAAATAAAAAAGTAGGCATCGAGTTATCCGGAACCGTAAACATAGGTAAGTGCTGGTCCTGGGCAATTTCCGTTTACTGTCGTTTTTTTTCGTGTGATTCCCTTTCGCAGAAACTTTGATTGGGTCATGAGTTTCCTGCCGGGGGAACCGGTTCCGCCCGGTTTCGAGGACGACAATGAGTCCCAAACGGCGGTGATCCAAAAGCAGATCGATAGCTATACTGGTGGTCCTCTAATCGGGACCGAGTACACCATTGAACTGCACGAGGCGGGCCAACTGCGTCCGGAATACTTTTGTGTGCTGTGCCAGTATTGCACGGACGGCAGGAACGTTTTTGTGCACTGGACATCTCTGGCTCACCGCACTAAATACCTGAAAACACATTTCCACAAGGCACACGAATTGCTTGAGAAGCTGAAACGTGCCCCCAAGAGCTCCGGGGATCTTGTGATTGCCACCGGCAATTTGGTAAAGTCGATTGAGAAGCATTATGGAAGATCGCGCGACTTGATTACTAAATCGGCCGAGGATTTCCGACGATTTCGGGCCAAAATCTGCAGTCAGGTTCGAGATAATTTCCATTTCGATGAGTGTGCTGGCCCAGATTTCACAGAAGAGGCTCAACGCCTCTTGCGCGAACTGAATCCAGGCTTGGCCACCAAAAACAGCAACGACGAAAACGGTGACAAAAAAAACGAGCAGAATGATGGCAATATAATCTCCTTAGATGCCATCTCCAGTGAGGATGAGAACTTTGGCGGCCCATCGAATCCGGCTGTCCAGGTGCCAAAGGCGCAACTGCGTAAGAAGAACAAATTAGCCGAAGACGCCAGCGGACGTGGCGCAAATCGCTCACCACCGCCACCCGGTGGTGTGGCAAAGACCCAGCACTTGCCCACGCCCAAGGAGCTGTCTATTCAGGCTTCTCAGATTGCCCAAGAGCGTTACAAATGGGAGAAGTTTCGTTGCATGTTAGAGCTTCAGCTCAAACAGCTGCGCGATGAAACGGAGACTTATGAGTCCAATCCCGAGAAACATCCGGACTACCCGGATGAGTGGAAACAGTTCTGGAATCGGCGCTATAAGCAGCTGCAGGAGGAAAAGAAGTGTGATCCAAATCAATACGACTACAAGCCGGAATGGATTACCTACTGGAAGGATCGACGGATCGAGCTGTTTAACATTTCAGTAAATAAAATCAAAAAGGATCTTAAGGAAAAGTTTAAGCTTAGCGAAGAGGACGAGGAGAAGACCAAAGAGCTAATGGAGCGCTACAAGATCCGTGTGGCCAGTCCACGTGAAGCGCCAACCAACGCCATTGTCGTCAATCGTCGCAAGCAGAACTTTCGCAACAATCGGTCGGCGGGTTCGTCTGGAGCGCCGGAAGCGGTCATCGATATCAGCGATGATGAGGTGTCAAATCCGGCGCCCCGTGGTCGGGGTCCTTACAATCGGCGTTCCATCTCCCGTTCATTGTCTCCAAAGCGAGCAGTGGGACGTCGTCCCATGCGACGATCACGTAGCCGTTCGCCGCGTCGTAATTTTCGACGAAGACCTTCGCGTTCCCGCTCGCGTTCTCGCAGCCTGAGACGCAGATCTCGCTCCCCACCGTTTTATCGAGGCCGCGATCGTCGTGGTCCAGCTTCTAGGGAGCGTGCCTTGTCGCCCGGTCCCAGGGATTTCGTCGATCGCCGCAGCTTAGAGCTGGAGAGGGAGAGAGAGCGAGAACGTGAACGTTCTCCCGAGTATTATTTGCGCAACGATGGTTATGCACGAGCACCACGCTACGAACATGTCGAGACCTTCCGCGTAATGGATTCCCGAGTGTATCCCGAGTACAATATGCCCAAGGTGCGTTCGCTTTCGCCAGCCGTCTCGTCCATCAAAGAAAAGGAACCGTCGGAGCCCGTCGAGGAGGGCCCACTGACCGTTGTCAGTGTCCTGCGCATGCTGTCGGCTGTAGAGGAGCACTTGGGCAGCCTGGGGCCCAAGGCCCTCAATCTGCTCAGCAAGGCTCTGGCCATGGAGATGGTTCAGCCGAATTCCGCTGACGATTTGCTGCTGAACGATGACCATTGTGTTTTTCTTGAGACCACTAAGGAAAAGCTAAAGGGCATCCTCATCGCCGAGGTCCTTGACGATCCGCAAAAAGTGCGCGTGGTCAAGAAATTGATCACCAACATAGCGAACATCATTCACCAGGTGAACGCCAGAGGTAAGTCCGCCCCTATAATATCCGACCCGTACGTCTATCTCTCTCTGTTTCGCGTTCGCGGTTAGAGGTCAGGAGGTAAGTATAAGTGTAGATAAATAATTAACTAAGCTTACCGGTTTGCTTTTGCCCCAGATACGGTCTGTCATGAAATGCCACAATCGTAATTACTCGCGTGATAACCTGTTTTTTTTGTTTAATACAAAACTAGTGAAGTTCCAAAGTTGAACTGCTTTTTGATGTAATGTGTGGTGTGTCCATCTGTTAAATACTTTAGATTCTATACTATACTTTGAATGTTGACATTTTATGTGCTGGTGATGATGAAATATAAAATAGACCTTCTTTTTTCTTTAATTCATCCTGGCAAATCTTGGGATAGAATTTAAGTGAAATAATTTCGTTTTAAGTATCCTTACTAATAGCACTTACGGAATAAAAGACTGTTTTTGATACAAAGAAGGGATAATATATATCCCATTTTGTATTTGTTCTTTCTCTATTATTCCCTGACTATAAAACTGCTCAAGGAGAATTTTTAATAAATAATGCATTTCTGGGCTATGGTTGTTTTCGTCGGAATTGCTGTGTTTGTTCCTGGCGATTCCTGGGACTTCCATGATTTGTCACCCAATATATCTTAATTAACTTTTTATTGAGGATCTTCGGGTTTTGTTCCCCAAAGGATTTACTTTAATTTAGTGTTAATGAAAATAAACAAGAAATAAAGGTCTCGTTTTGATTGGGTATTTCTGATATAAACCTTCTGTACATGTGGGGGCCTATTTTACACATTTTACATTAATTGGATACAGTTTTTTAAAGTTTAAATATACGAAATAAAAAAAAGAACATTGGCGTAACCCTGTGATTTCTAGCAAGAAACCACACATTCGGTATATTCGTTTTTCGGTCAGCTTTCCCTTATTTTTGGTGGGTGTGTGAACAAAGTGTGCCAACGAACCGTGACCAGTCCAGTCGCCATCCAAACCGCCCATAAGTATAAATGTAATTTTCATAGTTTCCGTGCGATAACGAAGCCGAAGCTTCATTTGCAGAGATCTGTAGATATACGCCTGTCCATTCTAACTGATTGTTTTCTTTTGTGTTGTTCCTCCCCCACCACCCGTAACCGGATGATCTAGGTGTACCAGATGTCGCCGAGGCCAAGGTCAAGGCGAACGCCAATTCATCGCCTTTTCAGCTGCCATTCGACCGGAACATGGTGGCCCCCAAGCTGGCAAACGTTTTGGTACTCAAAGGATACTACGACGTGACCACCAGCGACATGAACAATTTGCTTCACTTGCTAACGCTGCTGGTGAAGACGGATAAACAACGTCGCCAGGTGGATAAGAATGGCCTGACATTTGACGAGATTCTGTTAAAGCTCAGCCTGAAAGAGACACCAGAGGATAGCTTGGGCATCGATTTGGATGAGCTAATGAAAGAGGTGGAGAACCAGCTAAATAAGGAAACCGTGGATGCGGTAGGTTCCGGTTCGGTAGCAGCGACCAAGGCTCAACCTGATGCATCCGTTGGCAGCAATGGCATGGAGTCGCTGACCGACTCCGATCTGCAGACCCTACTACAGAACTTCAAGTTTCTTTCTAACGAGGAGCAGGTGCATCTCATTGGCCATTTGCGCAAGCTGGAGGTCCAGGAGCCATCGCGCGTCGAGCGCCTGCGCAAGTATGTGAACCTGGCGGAGTTGAGTGGCGATGGCGAATCCTGTAGTGATTTCCTCTCGCGCGTGGTGAATATTGGTGGAGTAACAAAGGCGGTAGAGAAAACCAAGTCAATGGCTTCGATATCGGGGGGCATGGCCTCTTACTCGGGCGCCACCATCGCCTCGTCCTCTTCTTCGATTCCAGCCCTCGCATCGCTGACCACTCGGCGTCAAAGCACGGATCGCGAGCGAGAACGCGACCTGTCCAATCTGCCGATGAACAAGCAACGACGTGAACGAAACACGCCCAGTTTCATGATCGATGATGACGACGATGATGAAGATGATTACAACTTTGACGATCTAGTGATGAAGGCCTGTGACTCGAACGGCGGTGGAGGTGGTGGTGCTGGCGCCAATAAGGTAGGAGGTCCGCCTGTTATACCCGTGGAATCATCGCCAAATGCCCTCACCTTTAAGCCAGCTGCTGTTCCCAAGATATCGCTGAAGGACACCGAAAGCATTATTGCCAACCTAATGGGCACCTTGAGCAAGAGCGGAAGTTCTGCAGGATCGAGTAGCTCATCCGTGGGTAATCGCAACTACATGATGAACCACCAACAGCAGCAGCAGCAACATGCGCCTAACCCGCCTAATATCAGCCAAAAGCCAGGCCAGAATCATCATGGCCAACATCAATCCGGAGCAGGATACGCCAATCAAGGCTATCCATCGCAGCAGCAGCAGCAGTTGGGCCGCAGTTTTAATCAAGAGCTGCATCAACAAATAAACAGCTTAAGCGCTGGACCCGATCCCAGTCAGTTTTCTAATCCGCAAGCCTACGGTGGATATCATCCGTATGCAGGCAATGGTGTGCAGCAGAACTACAATGCGGGCATAGGAGACGGACCCGGTCAAGGGCCTGGTCAAGGCGGCTATGGTGGACCCATAAACCCGTGGGCTAATAACGGGCCGCCGCAGCCACCATATAACCAGATGCCTCAGAACTTCTTAGGCGCACAGCAGCAGCAGCAGCCACATTATAACAACATATTCGGAGGACGTCATTAGAATTCAATTAGTCGTAGGTTCTAAAAGTTAAATCATAAAGATTTAAAAATAAAGTTAACCGGAGTCAATCCATTGAAGTGCCCGTGTATGCGCGATTCTGTTACCAGACAAGTGATTTAAAAACCTTTTTTTTTTCAAACTTATGAATACTGCTGCTGTTAAAAAGCCAAAATTTCAAAAATCGTTAAGCAAGGAGCATCACAAATCAGAACGCTTGTATCTGAACAGCAAGAGAATAAAGAAAAGCAAATGTTAATTTTGTACTGACTTTTGTTTAGAAACGGCCCTGATTCCTATATGAATTTCATATTAATTTTTGTTGTTTGGGTAATTTGAATTTGGGTGTTTATATTAAACATAAAACGTAAACCTTAATGTAAATTGGGAATTCCTAATTAAAGTTATAAATCAAAAGGAAAATGATAAATATAGTGACAAATCATAGAGCAATTATAGTTTGTAGTTAATAATTTTGGAACACTAGCCTGAAGCCAAAAAGCATCTTCAAGAACATTTAAAAGCAAAGGTAATTTTTTTTAATTTTATGCATTTATCATTAAACAAAACACTCATAAAGCAAAATAATATTAACCAAATCATTTTTAAAACCATGTAAACCCTAATAAATACTAATCACCTCAAATTACTGATCTTATAACCACACCACTCAATAAACATGATAATGCCAACTGGAAATAATTTCTTCAGTGAAATTGTGCCTTAAAAGCTGAACAATACCGAAATATTAAAGATAACTAAAAGTCAGCTTCAGGATATTAAAGCTGAAGTAGTTCATGTATCGGATGATCACTGTGCTTGTACATCAATGACAGACTCCAAGACCTCAATAAATATATCAAAACAAACGCTTTAACAGACTTTTTATGGCGGAATTAAACTAATCACGATTCAACTACAGTAGGGCAATTGCAGAAAGTCCACGGACTGGGCCTTTAGTATGCCAGGTATCTCCTGCTGTAGCAGTTCGTGCAACGATTGACCACTATGCTTGTAGACCCACCGGCCTGCTGTCACAGTGCCTACAAAGTCAAATCTCTTGGGACCGCTGGTAGGCGAACTGAGCCAAATTTGTTTGTTTGGTGTCTGCCGGTTGATCACATAGGTGCCGTACTTGTGTCCCAGATTCACGGTGAGCACGCCATCCTGCGAAAACAAAAGCAAATGGAGATTATATCAAATGAATGATGTAATAGCGGGCTAAGAGACTTACGCCGTAGGCCACATCGGTGCCCTGCAGGTCGGAAGCGTTCTCCGTCAGCTCTTCGAAGTAGTCGCACAGGGCATCTAGGGTGTCGGAACAGACCCGCTCGTAGGTGGCACTATCCAAACTGGATTCAGTCTCGATTTGACTGCTGGAAAGCCACCGGTTTGCATTAGTTCCTTGAAATATGTTGGAATTTGCGACTGTTATCGGTGTCCTAGGCAAGATCGCTTGACTAATTAGTCTTTGGGGCAGTGACCCATTTCCAATAGTGGCCAAACATGCCCGATGGCGGCTCACACGAGCAAGCAAACGACCGGCAAGCATTATCAAACTTCTCGTTTTGTTTATATTTTATAAATACCAAATGCACTACTGACAACTTGCTGAAAAAAAAGGTCGTTTCGGTATTTTTTCATCTGAAACTATTAAAGTAGCATACCATTTAGCTTTTTTTAAACGTGAATTGTTTTACTATATGAAATGAAAACTCTGACAAATATTGGCAATTATCCTTAAATATTAAGACTTTGATTATTAATATAAAAACATTACTTGGTACTTTTAGTAGTTGGTATATGTTAAATACCTAAGATACGTCTTGTATTTCTTACAAGCTATATTATTTTTTTTGAGGAAAGATACACGGTCACACTGTAACTAAAGCCGACAGAAAATGGCGTCCGCCTGAAAATTGGTGTCTCTCTTGAAAAATCCACGCTAATTTGACCAGCAAAACGTGTAAAGATGGCCCTGCCCAGCAACTACAAGCAGATAGCAGTGGGTGGCCAGGGACCGGGTCCAGTGACGCCGCTGCAGGGCGTTGGAGGCGGCGGTGGCGGCTCAAGCGGCGGCAGCCGGTCGCGTTCATCCGGCGGAGGCGGAGGAGCCGATCGCAATAAGGACCAAACGCCAATTTTCACGCATAGCAACTACGGCAACCCAGCATTCACGCCACAAAAGGTGACCAAATCTTCAAGCAGTAAGAACCAGAACGAATCGCGACTACCCAAACCGCCGAAGCCACCAGAGAAGCCGATTCTGCCGTACATGCGGTACTCGAAACGCGTTTGGGACAGCGTCAAGGCTCAACATCCCGAGCTAAAGCTTTGGGAGCTGGGCAAGAAGATCGGAGCCATGTGGAAGCTGCTGGCCGAAGAGGAGAAGACCGAGTTCATTGACGAGTATGAGGCAGAGAAACTGGAGTACGAGAAGTCGCTCAAAGCCTATCACCAAACGCCCGCCTATCAGGCTTACATGTCGGCCAAGAGCAAGGTGAAGACCGATGTCGACATGCACGAAACACCGTCCCGCGGCGGCGGCAGTAAATCGCAGCATGAACGACGCATCGACATACAGCCGGCGGAGGACGAGGATGACCAGGACGAGGGCTATACAGCCAAGCACTTGGCCTATGCCCGCTATCTGAGGAACCATCGCCTGATTAACGAGATCTTCTCGGAGGCTGTCGTACCGGACGTGCGATCCGTGGTGACCACCACGAGGATGCAGGTGCTCAAGCGACAGGTCAGCTCGTTAACGATGCACCAAACCAAACTCGAAGCTGAACTACAGCAGATGGAGGAGAAGTTCGAGGCCAAGAAGCAGCGCATGGTGGAGTCTAGCGAGGCCTTTCAGGAAGAACTGAAGCGCCACTGCAAGCCAGCCGTGGACGAAGACACTTTTCAAAAGATGGTGCATCGCATGTACGAAGATATCAAACGCGATCGCCAGCGGTTGGATGAACCGAATGCAAACAACTCAACGAATCCTGCAGCTGCTGCTGCTCCTGTGACGAGAAACGAGGAGCCAGCCAAGCCGCCAACGCAACCGGGTCAGCCAGGTGCCACGCCCGCTAGCCAGGAGGTGGCAACTCCTGCAGTGCCACCCAAGGAGCCCCCGCCAGCTGTAAAGCCATCAACTCCCAATCCCACTCCGAGCTCTACGCCCACTCCGGCACCAGCGGTACACGTCCATGAAACGGCCAGCAAAACAGATCCCGAACCGATGGACATTGAACCACCACCCAAGCCCTCGGTGCCACCTCCGCCCATAAAGCCGGAGAAACTGGAGATGGCCGCTGCCCTGCCGCCGCAGTCTACGCTTGTCGAGCCTCCAAAATCAGAACCCGCCAAGGTAGTGGCCCAACCTGGCAAGGTGCCTACACCAGTACCAACACCAACGCCTCCTCCAGAAGTGGTTCCAGTAGCTGGAGCAGCTCCTGCGGCGACAACAAACACGACGACACCCACGCCGCCGCCGGTGCAACAACAGGTGCCACTCCCCCAGCAACAAGGCGCACCAGCACCTCCACCAGGCATGCCTCAGATGCACCCACATCCCGGTCATCCGCCACCAGGACATTCCCTTATGCCACCTCATATGGGACCGCATCAGCCTCCTCCAGGAATGCCCGGCCTACCGCCACCACCTCCGCACTCCGGTTACGCCAACTACGGTGGACCACCGCATGGACCGCCGCCCGGTCCACCAGGTGGACCCGCGCGTCCGTACTACCAGCCCCAGTATGGAGGTCATCCCACGCCGCAGCCCTACTACGCACCCTTCTCGCCCTATCAGCAGTCGTACGGACCACCACCCGGGTCGCACTACATGTCACCGCGTCCCCCACCACCACAGCATAATGGCAATCCCGGACATCCATATGCACCCGAGCATGGGAGCAATCCGCCGCCGCCACAGCAACAGCAACCGCCACCAGGTCACCTGCACGAGCCCAGTGGAGGACCAGGAGCGCCAGGCGGTGGATCCGGATCTGGTGCAGCAGCATCTGCTGGCGGAGTGTACCCGACTCCCGGTGCAGGAGCGGGTCCTGGAGCACCTCCCGCAAGTGGAGGAGCTCCGCTAGGCGAGGCAGCAGTAGCTGGAGGAGCTGCGCCCCCGGCCACGGCGCCCAGCAAGCATCCAGAGGCGGAGAAGCACGAGGCGGACTAAGAAGAGAAGTGGAGTCATTGCACTTTTTCCGCCCCCAGATCCCTAGTTGTAGTCCCTAAGTTATACATACATACATTGATCCCTGTGTTGTAACATAGCTGTCCCCTGTTGAAACTTCGCCTCTGCTCGCTGTACACCGACAGGAGGTCTTTCAACTTAAATCCCTTTTTAGGCGCCCAGAACTTCACATCAACTCCATTCTCAATTAAGTTTAACAAACTTTTTTTTTCGCAAGGCCTAATTTTAATATTTTAATAATTGAGTGTGCGTCGCATTCTGGACTGTATGCTAAATTTACGAGTAAAATAAATGTACGTTTATATGTAAATGAATAAATTGTCTGATTTTTAAGATTTCCGACTCCATGGGGTTCCATTTGCAACTTAAACTGGAACTTAGTTGGAACCTCTTAAATAATAACATATGATTACCCTAGACTGTTTGCTTGCGTTTCATTGTGTTTACATTGCAAAAAAAGAACATTCAGAAATATTTTCATATAAAGTGTAAATTGTTTTTATGTTCATAAAGTAGATAAACGATTTTATTTATAAATATCTACCAACCAACGTATAAGTTATGAATAAATAAGTAGACGATTTTAAAACGGCCAGAAAAAAAAGAAACTACTCCGAAACACATTATAAACTCACATTCAACAATTTTTCGCGAAATATAATTATTTTGCTATTTTTATAGTTTCAATGAACTCACAGGATTCGCTACATTTCTCCGATCTCTTCATAAATTTAAAATACACTTTAAGGAAATTTTTTATTAGAAAAATAATCGTTAACCCTTAAGAGGTGAGCTTTATATTAACAACTCATTCTGATTTTGTGCTCCAATAAGCCGCCGCTAGATGTCGTCTCTTGTCGGCAGCCTTGAAAAGCAAAAAAAAAATAATAAGAGGGGCAGCGCCAAAGCCACCCACACCCATACAGATGCAGCCAGCCAAACTTCCACACAAACACACGTTAAAGAGTAGCACACACACATACAAGCACGCACCGAGATTATCACACGTAAACAAAGCGAATGACGTTTGCTTTTGATTTTTGGAGTCAACTGTACTATTACCACCTTTCCCCCTCTCGCCATCCCTTTCCCACCGTCTATTTCTATCCCGCTTTCGCACAAAATAAAACATTTTGTTGTTGTGTTGGGTTTTTTTGGTTTCTTCTATAGAAAAAACCGTTTATTTTTTTGTTATTTTTTTTGCTGATGTTTCCAGTTATTTTTACTGTTGCTGTCACTGTTTTTTTTGTTTAATTATTTTTGTATTTGGGGGGTTGTTTTATGTTTTTGTTTCTTATATTGGTTCTTGTAAGCTACGATACGATATAGACACATATATTTAGTCCGATTTGTTTAAATGTTCAATGTGAAACTAGTTATCGACACCAATTTACAAGTATATATATTTATGGGCGTTTACAACTGATTATTTTGCTTGTGTTTCAACTACATATAAATATTGAGAAATATTCAATGCTGTGCTATGTTTTTATTTCGGTTATTATTATTCGATGCTCTTCCAAATCTATAGATGTGTATTAATATTTGATTGCTGAATCATCTTTATATCTTTTCTCTTCTCTCGCTTCTTCTTCTTTCGCCTAAACGTACAAAATGCATGTAAATCTAAAATCTTATTTAATCAACTAACTCTTGCACGCCCATCCCTTCGTTATATATATATTAATATATATATTTTTTTATGCTCTGTATGTGATTAGCAGTAACGGAAGGTGATCAAAATAAAGAAGAGTATTAATGTCTAGTGTTTTTGTTTTCTATATAGATATTTATATATATTTTTGTATATATGAATATACGTAAGTGTAAAAGTTAAGTGTACTCAATTCGGTCTTCGGTGTTATATGTGGATACCATCTTCATTAAATGCCATGTGCCTACGGTTTGACTACTAGGTTGTAACGTTCTCGCCGCCCTTCCAAGGATCCAGGAATATCCACTGTTCGGTCCGCCGCCGTCTGTCCGCCTTACCACGTCCAGTTGGCGTTTTGATGACACCGATCTCCAGTTCCGCAGTCCCGGCAGCCAGATGTTGAGCTCCCTCCTTATTAAAAAAAAAATAAAAAGGAAACAGGCGCCTTAAAGACCACGGATTTCTGGAAACCTGTGTCCACCAGCTGAACAGTTGTTGGAGTTGTTGGTGGCAGATGTTACAGACGGACAGGCGACGACGGCAGACCAGGAGAATCCCCTTCCAAAAGTGGTGGACCAGGAATTGGGTGGAAAAAGCGCGACACTCCGACAAGATCAAACCGCAGACACATGGTGGAGAAAAAAAACCTTATAACTAATATATAATAGTAATAATAAGAGTTACAAATATGTTTAGCATTACAGTAATGTTGTGTGTCGTTTTGTGTATGGTGTTTTTCGCATCGACATTCTGACGATCCGATTAAACAACAAAAGGATGATAAATGTATACATGTAAATATGATGATAGAATGGCCTTATCAAAGCGTCACTGGTGCTCATTTGGCTCCTCTCCCTCAACGAAATGAAAATCCGAATAGTTTGTTGTTTGGGAATGGACGACAGTGTACGACCCTTCTGTTCTACTCCTCTAAATGATTCTTAAGCACGCTCGCCTCGAATACGGCGCGCCAACTGGATATCCTTGGGCATGATAGTCACGCGCTTGGCGTGGATAGCGCACAAGTTGGTGTCTTCGAAGAGACCCACGAGGTACGCCTCAGAAGCTTCCTGTAAGTCAAATGAAATATTGATGAATACAGGAACGAGTTTAGCTTATTTGCGTTTTTAATCTTGTCAAATGTTAGTCAAATAATATTATTTTAATTTATTAAAGTTCTTTTAGATTCTTACTGATTCAGAATAGATTAATAACAGCATTAATTATAATAATAGATTTTATATATATCTAATATCTTACCTGCAGGGCTCCAATGGCTGCAGACTGGAAACGCAAATCGGTTTTGAAATCCTGAGCGATTTCACGAACAAGTCGCTGGAAAGGCAGCTTGCGGATAAGCAACTCGGTCGACTTCTGGTAACGACGGATTTCACGAAGAGCCACAGTTCCGGGACGATAACGATGGGGCTTCTTCACTCCGCCAGTGGATGGCGCCGACTTACGAGCAGCCTTGGTGGCCAGCTGCTTACGAGGAGCCTTTCCTCCGGTAGACTTACGGGCTGTCTGCTTGGTACGGGCCATATTATCTTCTTATATTTTTGAACTGCAATAATAGAATTTCAAATTTATATTTTTAGTTTGGGGATCCTACAAATTCCTTTGCGAGTACTTATGTACTTAAAAAATTTAAATTGAAATGAAACTAGTGATCATTTGATCTAGACCGAAGAATTTCAAATAACTTCATTCTATAACTTAGAGTTAAAGCCATAGACTGTGGTGTTTAGTTTAATATAATGATTGCCATTTGTAGTTACCCAAAAAAACACGGCGATCCTATCCAAACGAAACATAAAACTCGACTGCCAGAAACTTTTCACAAACTCTTGGCCTTTTAGGCCAGCACAGGCGCAGTGCAGCCGCCTACAGGACGATGCAACCGGCTAGGATATATACGAACTATGATGGATCTATACGGGTGGATGTGGCTGGGAGCCAAAGTTAAGACCGATGCACAGCGCCGAAGCGCTGGCGGCCAACTGACGACAAACCAAGATTCGTGTTCACAACGAAATCGAGGGTTGAACGTGAACATTGTCGGACAGCTGCCTACTTTTCCCCTCTATCCCCCATTTACATTATTTCCCATCTTCTGGGAACGCAGCACTCGAAGCTTCCACTTGAGTGGAAAAAGAAAAAATCGTGTCTCGGCATCATACACAGAGAAAAACAAACGGAGCGTGTAATGCATATTTTATATTGTTTAGATACATGAGTACTAAAAACATAGCTCGAGCCCCTGCTTACTGATTTGTTTATATGAAGAAATTTATTTCATTTATCATTTTAAATACATATCAACATTTAGAAGAAATTTCTAGAATGCTCTTGTTAAAAAGAGAATAATATAATACAGATGTTTCTTGCTGTGCATGGAGGACCACTTGAAAAATCGTATTTCTTTTCTTTTCAACCAAACAACGTGAGTCGCTATTTTTTGTGTTACCCTTCTTTTTGTGTGCTAGCGCTCTCGAGTTTTTTGCGTTTTATGTGGAATCAATCAATTTGAAGTAATGAGTTGTAGTTTTCAATTTATTATTACCTTTTTGTGCTGGCAAGAAGAAAATAAATTCAAACAATGATGTGAAAGAAAGAAGAGGAATGGTAATGGGAAAATCTTGGAAGCGCCAAAAGAGTAAGCATAAACAAAAAGGAAAAGCAGCAAGCGGTAAAAACTTGGCGCGCATTAAAAGGCGGCAAGTTAGAGGGAGATAGACATATATACACATTCACATTAGAAAGAGAGCAGTGGAGTGTAAGCGGTTAATTGCGTCGTTTCTCCGCTAGCCTGCATATGTGTGCGTCCATAGATGTGACAGCTGCACATCCTCACAAAAGACAGGCCCAAAAAAATAAGAAACAATTATGCAATGATATATGGGTAAGAAGGTAGAGGGAAAAAGAGAGTGCACACTGCGCATGACAAGCGCAGACATGCACATTTGCAATTGCGAGCTAGTGTGCGTGGCTGTTATACACACACACACACACACATGTATATGCCACTCGAGATATAATAAAAAAAATATTTATATCTGTTAATGCCAACATAAATACGATTACTCATACATTTTGGCGCCAATTTCTGAGAACTAGTTTTATATTTTGTTTAGTTTGTTAATTTCATTTTTGGTTGCAACTTTTATTTGTTGCTGCTTTTCTGCGTGGCGGCCATTTTGGAAAAAAGCAGCGCACCACTACAACTACAACAATAATGCAACCAACAGTCGTGCGAATACGAAACCTCTCACATCTTCGTGCATTTGTGTGTATCCAGCAACGAAAATGTGTTCATGTGTATGTGCGGTGAAAAATAGGGCTCCGCTGGACAGTCGGCGGAGCCCCAAAAACATTACAACTTCTATTTGAGTCCACAATAAAAAAAAATTAGAACATTGCACACTTAAACATTTTCACTACCCACACACACGAAAATTCCAAGAACAATGCTTAAAACTATACATCAAGACACTCACCGATTAACACGACAAGAAATAGTAATTTTCACAAATTATTTTCACACGAGAACGAACTAATGCGGACGAGAGAAAAATTCACAATACAGTGATCGATATGACACAGGCTTAGTGATGGTTATTAATTTCGATTGTATTCGATACACGTTCGATTTACCATCAAAGACATTTTTATCGGAGCCTGAAACCATGGTTCAAACCTTAGGTAAACAATATGCAATATTTGAATTTATTAACGATAAAGAATTAATAATAAATTATTCTCATGATAAATTTAGCTTTTATAAAATGTGGGACTTTTTTTTTTCATTTCATAAATATACAATAAAATCATGTCTTAAATCTGCTTTAGACATTCATATTGTTTTTATTCACAGAAGAAGTATATTTTAGCGCTACTGAATTATACTTTTTTACTAATGTCCAGAAAAAATATTTCTCCCTCAGAGACAATAATATCCTGGTTTCCTTAATAATGAAAGTGTAATTTGGATGATTGTTGAAACCCCACATGGGGGGCTAATTTATTATTTGCGTATTACATTTGAGGTGAGTGAAATAGCAAGCAGACTACTGCGACTTCTTGTCCTCCTTGCCGGCCCTGCCCACAGGCTCGTCCTTGAAGTGGAGGAACACAAACGAGAAAACGAACACGCCAATCATCATGGAGAAGGCGCTGGTGTAGTAGGGAAAAGCGCTAGGAATGAATCGCTCATACTGCGTGTGCTCAAGCGGACGCACGGACACCTGGGTTGTGCTGTACAAATGCGTGTATCCGACGCGATCGTAATCCACCTTGAACTGGTAAACACCGTAGACGTCGGGGATCTTAAACTTGGCCTGATATGCGCCCGAGTTCGTCTGCTTTAGGTAGGTGCGCACGAAAGGATCGATCCGCACGAACTCCAGCTGGATATCGCTGGCCTTGAAGGCACGCCACTGACCCTGCACTAGCTCCTCGATGCCAATGGTGTAGACAACCGGTTCGGTGATGGTGTAGGCCTGATCTGGTGGCAACAACTCGCCCTCCTTGTGGTGCTGCACGGAAGCCACGCGCAGACGTCCAGTCTCTCCGAATACCCACTGGCTGATGGACTCGGCAACGTCGCGATTGCCCGCCAGCTTGTGGAACACACCGCTCTGGGCGTACTGGACCGCCGTGGTGAAGCTCTCATCGGAGAAGAAAGATAAAGAGCCGGAGAAGACCACGCGGGCGTTGTTCCTCGCTTGCAGGGCGGCTATAAGAAGGGTGCCACGGCCAACGGCATGGGGATAATCCGTGACACTGGACACAGGGTTGTAACTATAGGCAGTGCTCTCAGCGGTCAGCAGTTTAAGAACCAGTGGGTTTTCCTTATCGGCAATGAGCCCAGTACCGCGGTAAATCAGAGGAGCTGCATCCGCCTGTCTATTGGCCTTGCCTACAATGGTGTCTGCCTGGATAAGGTTCTTTGCCGAAGTTAAGATGGTTGTATGCTGGCCGGCATCGCTGACATCGTAATGCAGGTGATCAATGACCGCCGCGCTCTCCTCATCCAGCTCAAAGCCGCACTCGGAGGCGAATTCCCGTAGAGCATCGCCGGATTTCTCGTTGCCTGCCACCAAAACATTGCCGCCATCATCAACGAACTGTGCCAAACGCTCCACGCTGATGTCGCCGCCGAATTCCTCAACACTTGGGGCGAAAATAATTACATTCTTGTACAAATATTCACCGTATTTGGAGAGCAGCAAACTAGAGTCATCCGCAAGCTTGTAGGTTAGCTTAAAACCACGATCTTTAAGGGAAAAAACCAAATTTAATAAATTAATAAAGGACCGTGTTTTTTTTTGTCCACGTCAGAGGTTAGCCGGCTTTTTAACTCACCCTGCAGTGACTTGAAGAAGATTGAGTGGGTCTCGCGAATGGCGAGGTTGTCGAGCAACACCAAAGTGTTGGCGTCCGATTCGAGGACCGCCTGACAGTGGGCAATCGCCAGGACGGCAAGCAGAAGAGCTTTCCACATCATTTTCTTCAATCAATTTAATCTGTTCTCTCCGGCTTTTCTTGAACACTACATGCCAGTGTGACCATGCGCGTATAGGGTGTGTCAGAATATACCAACTATTTTCCGAAATTAAAATTTATCGGGTCAACAAACTAAGTTTAGTCTACATAAAATTAAATCTGACTCTTTAAAAATTACTACTGAATAATTAAAATAGCCATTTCATAAAGTTGATTTATCTATATTTTCAGGCTTTTCTGCCAGTGCGGCAAAGTGCGATTGTAATGTTTTCAAATATACCAAATAAAGTTTGTCACAGATCTACGAATCTTTCTTTATATTAATTTGATATTTCATTTTTTTATTTGTTTTTAATATCAAACAAATTAATTTTTTTTTATTATATCGATATTCTAAAATAATTAAGAAGATCGATGAATCGATGTATTTATCGATTTTTATTTCCAAAGAAATTTATAAACAAAACTTTTTTTAAATTCAAATTTGATTTCTAAAGAATTCGACCATTATTTAAAACAAAAACAATGGACATATTCGAGAGCTTCTGCCGGACGTGCGGAAACGAGTGTCTGGAGTCGCTATGCATCTACGAGGAGAGCGTTAGTGCTTTGGACAAAATGGTGCCCATTGCGGAGATGCTTGAAACCTGTCTGCCTGACTCCTTGCCGCCCATGGTCCAGTCCGACGACTATCCCAAGCAGATCTGCCGCATCTGCGTAAACAAGCTAACTATAGCCTACGAGTTTAGCCACCAGTGGATGGGCGCCCACAGGGAGTTCAACGTGGCTCTGAAGTTCGAGCAAAGAAGGAAGCGCAGTCTGGCCAGCAAATCTCAATCAAATCAAGTGAAGCCGAAGGATGAGCAGCTGCACACAGAGGTGACGGATACAGTGCCCCTCAAAATCGAACCGGAAGTGGGTAAGGCATAAAGCGGTTCTTTCAAATATCAGTAAAGATCCTCTATCTACATTTTGAGCTTATGGTTTTTTTTTTACCTAAATCTTCTAGCAGCTATAAGCGCTGTAACTGCAGAGGTAAAGTCCAGCAGCAATTCCAAACTTGGCTTTAAGTGCGGCATTTGTCAGAAAAGTTTTCACACAGAGAAGGCCTGCAGGTTCCACTTTAAATTCTCGCACAAGGATCTTTAGTGAGCTTTTTTACAGTTAGTAAGATATTTCACATTTAATTTTCTCGCTGACTAAGTGCACGACTTAAAGGCATTTAGTTTAGCAATTATATTTCGTAATTGCATAGAAATTGTAATATTTTTATGATGTAATTATTTTTTTGAAAGTTGTTGTCTGCAAAATAAGGAATTTCTCTGCCTATGCCCTATCATAAGCAGATTTACTAGCAATAGTTTATTGTTACATTAGGATATTTGTTATATTAAGATACAAATATAAAATAATTAATTTTAAATAAAAGAAATTCACTCTAAACTGATTGCTGAAATTTGTAGAATCTGCATTTTTGTTTTTTGTTCGTTTTCGTCTTGAGCTAAATCTTAAAATATTACCCATATTTCTTTGTGCGTAATTATTAGGTTTTTATGAACATAAATGGACTTGTGGAACTGCACAGAAGCTCTATAGGAGATCACATAATGAGAACCAACAAAAAAGGTTAATATGTAAGTCCTGGCACAAGGATCCCCCATCCATAGGTGAACCAATGAACACTGCCTTTTGTACATTTAGTTGTTTGTTTTACTTAGCTATAGCGTAAACAAAAAAAAAATCAAAGATGAGAGCCGCCCGACCTGGAGGTAGTCCTCTAGTCATCCTCGTCGTCGCGGACCTTCTGGGCACGTGGATCGTCGTGGCGGTAGACAACGTAGCCAAGTTTGTAGCGCCGGTTGTCACCGTCCTTGGCGTAGTAGTTGGCAACTCCGATGGTGGCCATCACGATCCCGGCAAGGGCCAAAGCGGATCCGCCGACGATGTCAGGAATCTCATTCCAGGCGCGCTTCAGCAGCGATGTAGAGCCTCGGGCAGCGGAAGCGGACATCTTGGTGCTATAAAGAAAAGTTATGTTAGTTCATTCGGGCCAGGGAATTTACAAGCGTAGCATATTTACCAGAAAATAAACGCGTTTAGTTTTGTTACACAACAAGACCAGACAAACAGCTGACTAGAGATGGAATCCAACTGGGTTGGTGAGTGGATATCGATAGTGGTTATCGTCCCGCAGCTGCAGACGACCAAATTTCGATTTATAAAATATTGGAAAAATAGCTTTTCGAATTATGGACTTTTCGAAATATGTATAGAAACATCTACTCAACAACTGATTTATTAGGAATCCCCTACTAGACCTAATATTTCTATGCCTTGATTTTATTATATTCTATTGATCCAAAGCGAATTGACACAGCAACGCAGTCGGTGTTCTAGGTTTCTTTAAATGTAATTAAATAAAATTAAAATTAATTTTAAACTTGTCTTTATTGATAACGCAAAATAATGGCCAATATAAAAAAACTGATTAGATTTGTAATTGCCTATACGTATGTAACTACTAAGTGACTTATGCTGACGGTAAATGCAGAGTTCAAGTTGCCCGGCAGTTATCACGCCTCCTGCTCGTAGCCCTCCGTCTTCATATCATTCAGTCCCAGCTCCTCGTTGTCTTCGAAGGAGCGATCGTACCGCTCTACAACCAATTTCTCGTCCGGCTCAGCATCGTCGTCGCTAAGCGATTGCACGTAGGTGTTGCCGGCCGGATCCTCTAGCACCAGCGTTATTATTCGTTTTAGGTTCATCACGTCGTCGAAGGTGTCGAGGAAACGTTGCATCTGCTGTTTGGTCGTCTCGTCCGCGGAGTCATGGAAGAAGGTGCCATCCAACTGATCTCGCATGGCCAACAGCAGACCCTCAACGGTGGTGAAGCGACCGCACAGAGCATGCGGACCGACCTCCAAGTCCAGTTCAGGTATGGACAAGCTGCACGTCTCGGACTTTAGCACATCGCGCGTCAGATCCTCTTTGCTAGCAATCTGCACTCGGAAGCGAACACCCTGAGCTTCCACACCGCCGCCTGATTTCACCTCGTTTGTCTTGTGGCCACAAGAGCCGCAGACGGTGGCCATAATAACCACCTCCTTAAAATGCGGGATGTTTGTGAGTTTCATGTTGGTCTCACAGGGAGCTTGGCAATTAGGACAATTGGTCGGGAACTGTAGCACCTCGCCATGCAGATTCTCTATTGGCCACGCGTCCTCGGCAATAGGCTTTAATAAGTGCTGTTCCTCGTGGTTCTGCTCGTAAAGGCCTGAAATATATATTTTTTTAAATCAATAAGATATAAACATTACAAATTTCCCAGTTAGTTGGTAACTAAAGATTGCAGTCTTACCTAATTGCTCGTTTTGCTGCTGGTTTCGTGTGAAGTGCGATGTCTTCAATTGCGGATCAGCGGCGGGTGCCAGAGGATTCTCGACAAAACTATTACCGGAGATGTCCTCGAGGAGCAGACGAAAGGGTGTATTCACCTCCTTCAAGCGGTGTAATCGCTCTATGTAAGCGTCAATAGAGGCTGCAGCCTCCGGATGATCGATGCGCCGCTTATCCTGATCCTGGGACAAGCCGGCTATCGTTCTCTCAATGATGCCCTCAACGGTAGTAACCTCACCCTTCTGCGACTGCACTGGGATCTCCAGCTCGACTTCCGGTATGGTAACACTGGAGTTATCCGATCGCACTACTCGCCGATTGAGATCGGCCACCGATTGAACATGCAGTTCGATGCGGATGCCGGACTTTTGAATCTCGGAGGCGGACTGCATCTCGTTGTTGACGTGCCCACAATGGTCGCATTTAAACGACATCAGTACTACCTCCCGGAAGAAGGGTATCTTGGTGGGTAGCAGCCGGGTAACGCCCGTTTCAAAGCAGTTCATGCATGCGGATTCGATTTCGACGACCTCCTCCGCCTGTTCCGCGTTGATCTCCCGGAAAATTGGCTCCGGTCGGACGGTTACATCGCTTTCCGGTGGACTGGAGGCATTGCTGCCGCTGGCGGCGCTTACAGTTGACATGGTTTGATTGTTATTCACGCAAAATAAGCTGATTTTATGTTTTTTGTTTGAAATGAAATGAACAAAATGTTTTTCGCTTTGCGTGTTAAACGTGTTACCGATTGCGTATATCGATTGTAAAAATCGATTAAGCTGTTACTAATTATCAACTTAAAAGTTTAAAATACCTTTTATTGCCGACTGTTTGTCGATTACTCTTATCACAAAATGGGCGGGATAATTCATATTTATAAGTTATGTTCAACTCAAGCCTTAGTTCTTTGTTGGTAAAGCAGGTGGAATCGGGCGAACGGATTCAGAGCATCATCCGAAATTAAAAAAAAGGAACTTCTGTGGGACACATTTTCCGCAGGAGTAGACGAAATTCAAAATGCTATTCAAGGGGCAAGAATCGAACACGAATACTTTATAAAAAGTTCTTTAGGAAAAGAAGTATTTTGATGGTTGAATATAAAACAGAATTCAATAAAAAACTGATCATATTCGAAAATGATTTTAATTCGCCACAGATTCAAGATATACATTCTGTGTCAGAGGACAAAAGAAGTTGCTGCGTATTTTAGATAGTGTTATAAAAAAAATTAGACTCAAAACATGACGGCGAGTTTGGTAAGACTTCTGAGGAAGCGGGGGCCTTATCACAAGGTTCAAGAGGGTCCAGACTGGAAATATGCATATACAGGTCTCGTTAGAAAGCCGGATGCCTGGCCAGGACCTTGGCTAGTCCGCCATTTTGGCTACAAGGTATCAAATCCATAAGTTAAAAAATGTTTCCAAGGCATTCAGAATATAGATCCTCTTTATGAACGTACCTCCGCTATAATAGGATAGGATAGTCAAAAATATGAATTTGCTAGGAGTGTTAATGTTAATGTTAAATCCCAGAGTGACCGGACCCGCGCAGTGCAAGAAATCGACAACATTTTACAACTTTTGAGTGGAAAAGAAGTAAATATGTTGGTATATATATTTTAATTTTGGTATATTCAAATCGTTGGGGTCCGGTCACACTTGACCGCCACAATTTTTATGCATATACTAATACTTCTACTGCACTGCATACAAAAGTTCGACGGGAGCAATAAAGTAATTATTAATTTTATTTAATACAATACCAATAATCAGCTCAAATTAGCGGCATCTGTTGGTTATTTTTTTGTGCCACAGAAAGTATTAAAATTGCTTATACAGTCAATAACGGTAACTGTAATACCTGCCTGTGTGTGTATAGTGTTCTCGTGTGCGTTAGTTGTGTGTGTGTGTGTGTGTCGAGCAAATATAAAATCGTAACGTAACGAGCAAAAGAGGAGAAAAGAAAGAACGAAACAAAAAACGTGTGAAAACTACATAAAAAAATAAGGTACCGCCAGTTGCAAAAGGCATATAGCGAATTGAATTGTACACTTAATGCTGGCAAAGCCGGACAGACAGCGAATGTTCAGGCATTTCAAGGACCTTTTTCACCTCCTGTCTGCAGCCGAGTGTGTGCGTGTATGTGTGTGCTTTTGACCACGACCACCTGGGTGGTAGTCAAGTGGAAATTTTGCGTTCAAGGACAACATCAGTGGCGGCAGACCCCCTTTTACATTTCCCCACCCCCTCTTTTGAGTGTTACTTTTCGCCCCCTCCTAAAATCAGAGCTGACGACAAGTTGTCTAGTCAATAGAGAACTGTGTTTATCCCCAAATTCAAAAGGAATTAAGTTTTCATTTCACATGTGTTTTTTTTTGCTCTATTTGCGAAAGTATGTGTGTGTGGGGTGCCGTTTTTCGTATTCGTATTCTTAAAAATTTTTTTTGCCGCGTTTGAGCGAGCTTGCGCACCAATACAAATAAAAATGAGAACTTTTTGTCGCTCTCTCTCTATCTACCGCAGCCCAGCCAGCGCTGCACTCGAAAATAACTGTTCGCGAGCAAGTGAGAGAGCGGCACACATTTAAAAGTAAAATAAATCAAAAAGAACGTGAAAATGGGCAGGAAAATATCAGCTGCGGCGCAGATTTGACAAAGTCGATAGGGGAGACCACAAAATAATCCAGGCCCAATTAAGAAACCAAAAAACATAACGCAGAAAAAAGCCCAGCCGTTCTAAATTCGTTTACCACGTGTGTTCTGTGGTACGTGTGTTTGTGTGTGTGTTGTGTGCAGCTGATTTGCCATGTGAGTGTATTGCGAGCGCTTGGAGGGGCACGAAACTAAACTAGATTTAAATTTGCCGCACACTTCCGCTGCTGAATGACATTTAACTCGCAACGTATGTATTTATTTAAGCAATTGCCTTGTCCCAATTGAATTAGGTGTTCAAGGACTTTCGCCTTAGCTTGTCCTTGTCTAGGCATCTTTTTAGGAACTAGCGGGAAAAAAGCTGAGAAGGTCAGCACTGAGGACGCGCCTGCGTGAATAGGAAGCAAAAAGGAAGAAGAAGGAGTAAAAAAAAAGAGCTCAGTGCGTGTGTGTGTGTGTGTGTCGCATAGCTACACATAACGGCGAAAAACGTAACGTAAACTTAACGCTAACTGGAATCTGTTTCTTCACTCTCCACCCACCACCATTCATTGATTACTATAATATTAATTGGAAAACGGTTGATCAGATCAAGCAATACAAAAAAACTTCACTCAATGCTTGACCAAACATTAACAAACATTCCAAGAATTTCTAGTCGCATATAATTTTGTTTCCTTTTTACTTGCTAATTTCTGACTATAAAGAAATCTATTTTAATTGGTATGGGAATCCTTACCGGCAAATAAGATTTCATGGGCAAACCATTATAAGTACATACAATAGGAAATATCCAATTTGATTATGATCTATCCTATTTGCCGGATTTAACTATAAGAATATATTTTTTCCGCTCCAATTGGGAATCCAATTTGAATATTATATTAAAGAGTTTAGATTACAGACTTGGTTCCGACTGAAGGCTGTTCCAGCAGTTGGTCCTGACCAGAGACAGTTTTTTGTCAAGGTCTAATCCTGCGGCGTCGCACTTTTGGTGCAATTTTAGTCTCTTATCCTGATCCGAAGACTTCATAAGCCTTTTTCATAGAATTCCACAGAACACGACGGCCATGAGCCGCAAGCGCAGCTGAAAGTACTCTTTGTAGGTTTTGTTAGTTAAGGCTGAAATGAAAATAAACGCAATATTATTGATTTAATATCACTTTCATGTGAACAAGATTATATTCAATATAAAAAGAGCACACATTAAGATTACAAAAGACCCTTAAATATAAATGTAATAGATTTTTTTCATCTAAGAAGTTTCTAAAAACAAAAATGTATTTCGTGTTCTCGAAATCATTGTATTTGATTTCCATCATATTACTCACCAAGCCTAAATTATTTTTAAGTCAATAACAGCTTGGCACTTTTTGCAAAGATTTGCAGTCTTAGAATCTTGGCAAAGAAATTCTTGAGTACTTTTCGCTACATTTTATACCATTTGTGTAATTTTGTAAATTTTTAGTTAAATTCATTGAGAGAGCTGTAGGATATACAAGGATAAAAAGAGGATCATAATTATGTTCTTATATTAAATTTAAGTGGCAAAAGGCGTGCTCGTAATTACCCATCAGAGAATAATTTTTGAGAATAATACAACAACTATAGATGTTATTTCACATTACTACAACTTTGATTCGCTTACCAAAGAGATTGATTTGTATGTTTAAAATAGTATTTAGATTAGTGAAATTCATGTGCTTCGTGACAATTTGACTAAATCTTAAATTTATGCTGTTTGCTAAGTATACTTATCGTCAAATTATGATTTTGAGGCTTTGGTTGTTAAAAGCAAATATGGCCCAAAATGAAAAAAGGATCTAATATCCTTCCGTTAAACACATTGAACTTAATTATGCTCAAGTTTTGTGAAAATGTATTGCAAACTGCATTTGTTTCTACTTTTTCATAATTTCAAAAATCTAACAAAAAGGTAACTTTATTTAGGGTTTATAATAGTATTGTATTAAGCACCGAAACTTATTATATAGTAAATTTCATAATTAGACTTTTGCTGTATATATTTAGTATTTGAAGATTTTTTTGTACACTGTAGTAGTTTCCGCTTCCTGGCCTTTCACGAAAAAGCAGAAATGGCCAACCTTAAAATATTTACCATGGCTGGAATGATTTTCCCGGGAAATTGCCAAGCTGTGCAAATGCTATTTTCCTCAATCCGGAAAGTATGCAGCAAAGTAAAGTACCCGAGTGTGTTTGTGTGTATGTGTGTATGTGCGTGCCGTTGCATAAGCCAGAGGCGTTGGCAGAGGGGCGGTTATGGTTTAAGGAGGATGGAGCCGGACGGAAAAACATTTCCTCTTTTGATTTAATGCCAAGTAGATTTATTCTTCACTTCCCTTTCTTTTTTTTGTCACTTTCGTTTATATTCGTTCTTGTTTCGTTCGTTTTTTTCTGTGTTTCCAAAATAAATATTTTTTAAAAGCTTTTTTTTTTTATTTTTAGTTTTTTATTAGACAGTATGTAGTTTGGTTTTTCGCTACATATTGCACTTTTCTAAACTAACAAACGATTTTATTCTTTTTTCGCGATTTCGAAGGAGCGGCGCTGTCGTCCAATTTACGTCGCCGTCTTCTTCGTCAGTGTTTGTTGTCGTCGCCTCGTTCGTCCTTTATTTTATTTCGTCCTCGTACAACAACAACAAGAAGAAGAATTAAAACAACGTCAAGGATCACCGCAATACGCAGTTTCCAAATGCTTTAAAACGATTCGACAACCTCTAAGGAAGTTATAATAACAAAAGACAAGCAGCGAATCAAGAACCGAAAACACCAAACAAACAAATAAACAAAAACCCAAAGTCAAAGGAGGCTCGCAAAATTTTTTACAAATTTGCAAATACATTTTAAGGAAAAATATAAAAGGAATCGGTGTCCTTCGTTGTCTCAAGCTCTTCTGCTTTCCCGGAGAAACGAACCCGTTGTTGGACTTTATTTGTGGCGCAAGGAGAAACCTCTCTTGGAATGGCACTCTTGGGAGAGCGCCAGTGCATTAGGGAGCAACAGCAGCAGGGTCAGCAGTAGGATCATCAGTATAGAAAAGCCAGCTCAAAGGGCTCAAAAGGGAAGGATTAGAAAATAGGAATCAGGATATAGAAAGCAGGATATAGGAAGCAGGAAGCAGGAATCACAGCTCAGCCAAAAGAAAGGAATCAGTTTTATCGGAAGACAAGCACATATTTAACCAGGGAAAAGAAAGAAAGGTGAGTTCACAACACTTTGAATTGGTGTTCTTATGGTGTGTTATGGATCCTCCTTAAGAACCATAAGACCTTCTAACAGTGTTAGTATTATTATACTAAAAAATCCAACGTATTATCAACATGCAAACTAACTAAAGTAATCTTAATCATAGGATCATGACTACTTTGGAGGAGTCTGTTCAGGCGGTGGACACGGTGGACCCGTGTCCCCCGGGTATTCCCAGCCTGAAAACTGTACTCAGCGATGATGCGTCGAACTCATCGGTGCTGGAGGACATCGATGTGAGCAACACGAGCAGCAGCAGCTCTAGTTCCAGCAGCTCCAGCTCCAGCTCTGGGTCTTGCTCAGGTTCGGGCACGGATACCGACACCGGTAAGGGGAGCAGCACTGTCGGTAGTCTGGATGTGACTAGCTCTTCGAGCATTGGATCGGCGGCTTCTATCTCATCGACGGGCTCCACCGCCATAGCCGGACCATCTGGTGGTTTGCTGGACGACTCGAATTCTTCGGGATTGGGCCTGGTTGTGGATGTGGATAGTTCCGGGAGCAGCCAGGAACTGAGCAGCCATGGTGTCACCGAGCTGGACTCGTTGGAGGACTCGTGCAGCGGGCTGATGGTTAAGGATGGGGATAAGCTATGCAAGCTGTGCAGGTGAGCATATGAATTTTGATCTTCCAATTTTTAATGGAAAAATAATGCATTTTTTTTTCTAAAACTTTGCATTTTCTTTTAATTTTCCGACAGCATGCGCCTTGTAATGCCGCGCATTTTGACTTGCCTGCACGTATTCTGTGAGGATTGCCTGCAGGTTCTGATATCGAAGGACTCGATCGCAGCCAGCTCGCCGAATAGCTGCTCCTCGTCTTCATTCGATGGCAGCGAGAACAACCGTCTGCCAGCGCTGTTTCTCGAGTGCCCCGTTTGCAAGCAGGAAACTCCCTTGGGCCCCAAAGGGATCAAGGATTTGACCTGCGACTATATTGTGACCAATATACTGGACCTCTCCAACCTAGAGTCGGAGCATATTGTGTGCACATCGTGCAAGAGCAAAGAGGAGGCCATATCGCGGTGCAACGATTGTGCCAACTTCCTGTGCAACGGCTGCGATAATGCTCACAAGTATATGCGTTGCTTCGAAAATCATCATGTCGTGCGTATCGAGGATCTGACAAAGAATGTTCACGACAAGCTTATCATCCACAAGCCAGTGTGCTGTCGCCAGCATGTGAGCGAGAATCTCAAGTACTACTGTTTCACCTGCCAGGTGCCCACCTGCAATGATTGCCTGCTGAGCGATCACAAGGGTAGCGATCATCACTACGAGACTGCCACGGTGGCGGAGCAGGCGGTTCGCGCCGATTTTGAGCACACCCTGACCGAAGCGCTCAGGAAGGCTGACTATTGCAACGATGCGGGCGGCAATCTGGGCAGTGCCCTTACTGAACTCCAGTCGCAGCACGATACGGTGCGCCAGCAAATTGAGGATGCCTACAAGAGTTACAAACGTATGTTGGAATCGATTAAGGATCAGCTCCTTAACGAGCTGGGTCGCCTGCACTCGGATCGCGAGTTGAAGATCATGGATCTGATGCAAAGTATGGAGAATAATATGGGAAAGCTGCAGCACGCCGCCCAATTTGGCCGTCGGGCCATCGACAAGGCCAATGCCGTTGAGTTTCTTCTGTTGAAGCCCGTGATTAGTGCCCAGTGTTTGAATCTCATAGAAAACACGCCCAAGTGCGATGTTAACTATCAGCTGCAGTTTGACTCGAAGCCTGAAAAGTTCGAGCAATTCGCCAGGGAGATGTTTGGTAAATTCCAAACCGATCAGAGTGACTCTAGTCCCAAGAAGCAAGTGATGGCACAGCAGCAGCAACAAGTGCAGCAGCAAGTGCAACAGCAGCAGGTGCAGCAGCAACAACAGCACCAGCACCAAGTGCAGCAGCAGCAGCAAGCGCAACACCAGCAGCAGCAGCAACAGTTGCAGTTGCAGCAACAGCAGCAGCAGCATAGCTCGAACAATTTGATTGTGGGCCATCGGGGCAGCTCTTCTGTTCAAGGACGCCTGAGCTCTGCTGTATTTAGCCCCATCTCGCTGCCCTCCTCGTTGCAGAGTTCCTTTGATGGCGACACCAACTCGGTGATGACCAACTTTTCTATGATGGACTCGCCGCCACAGCCATCTTCGCAGCAGCAATTGCCTTCAGCCCAGCAGCAGCAACAGCAGTCTCAGCAGCAACAGCAACAGCAGCAGCAACAACAGCAGCAGCAACAGGCAGCAGTGCTGCAGCAAGTCCAACAGCAGCAGAAGCACCAGCAACACCAAGTGCAGCAACAGCAACAGGTCCTGCATCAACAACCATCGGCCCAATCCATGCCTCCACAGATGGGTCAGCTTGTTGCTCCACAAGGCATTGTCCAGCAGGCTGGACATGTCAATCTCAATGCTGGTCCCGGTCCTAATATATCCATCAATGGCCTGGGTGCTGGTGGTCCACCGCCCAGTTTCAGCATGCTGGAGTACAATATCTCACGTTTGGCAAGTTTAACCGAACCGATGCCCGACACCCTCCACGATGCCCTGGCTGTCGGAGGAGCTGCAGCTGCAGCTGGCCCGAATGTTCCCCAAGTTCCGGGTGGTTCGGCTGTGACCGGTGGAGCCGTTGTAGGAGCACCGCATTCACATCAGCAGCAGCAGCAGGCCGTAATGCCGGCATCAGCCGTAACCCCCACGCAGCCAATTACCCTGGCCGATATCCTCTCGGGCGACCAACGGGCGCTCAACAATCTCCAGGCGCTGGCCAAGCTGGGACTCAACAATAATGGTAAGTTCTAGTGATTGGTTTAATAGAAATATTTACTGTATTATTATTTTAAACTTAAACTTAATAAGACTTAAAAAGAAGGAGATTACTTGCCGCCTAAAATATTCCTTTTCCCTTGTTATAATTTCAATTGGAAAATACTAGAGAACTGTCCTTTTCATTTTAATTGAAATCTTTTTCTTTTTCAATCTGCAATAGTTTCTTTGATGTCTATTTTTCCGATTTCTTGGTTAACGGGTTTAGACTTAAAGTATTAATGGAATGATAAAGTTACTGGTCTTTATGTTTTTTAATTTTCGGGTCTTACAAAATCAGCGGCTAGCCGTTGGATATGCCTATGTGTTTATATTTCTCTTTTTGGTTTCATTACACTTTTGAGTTCTTTTTCTTTTTTGCTTCTTGCACAATTTGCAAACCCACACCGCCTACACTCCCCAAACCAAACCAAATCCCCCAAAAACGAAAACCAAAACCAACAACACCACCTGTAACACCTGAATTTCCCACAACAACAACCAACTCTGCGACACCACACACAGATGATGATCTTTTGTTGAACGGATCCTCAACGGGCATTGATTTTTTATCAGATTTCTGCATGCCACCGGCCACTTCGCCCAGTCTTCAATCCCTCAATCCGATCGTGGGTGGCGTGGAGGACATAGGACTCAATAACTTCCATGCCGTGGCTGCGCCGGGCACCACCAGTGTTGTTACAGGCCGTAACAAGGCCACTCCAATGCAGATCCGCTGCAAATTCGGTTCATTGGGTACAGCCAAGGGTCAGTTCAATTCACCGCACGGATTTTGTCTGGGCGTTGACGAGGAGATCATCGTGGCGGACACTAACAACCATCGCATTGAGGTCTTTGACAAGATGGGCGCCTTGAAGTTCCAGTTCGGAGTGGCTGGTAAGGAGGAGGGTCAACTGTGGTATCCACGCAAGGTGGCCGTGATGCATAACAACGGCAAGTTTGTTGTATGCGATCGTGGAAACGAGCGTTCCCGTATGCAGATCTTCTCCAAGTGCGGACACTTTATGCGCAAGATTGCCATCAGGTAAATATAGTTGATTGATCTTTATATAATATATAGTAGAGTAAGAGTAGTAGAAACTTTCCTCCTCAACATTGACATTCTAAAAATTATAGAAAGTAGGCCAGAATTTGTCAAAAGCAAAACTTCAATTTGAGAAGTCATTTTGTATAGATTTCCCGACGCAAACGTTTCATTCATCTGTGAAATAAAATAACTAAAATAATAATTGTAAATTTGTTACCCTTCTTGCAGATACATTGATATCGTAGCGGGATTGGCTGTCACTGCCAAGGGGCACATCGTGGCTGTGGATAGCGTGTCGCCCACCGTGTTTGTGATCTCCGAGGAGGGCGAGTTGGTCCGCTGGTTCGACTGCAGCGACTACATGCGCGAGCCCTCCGACATTGCCATTCGAGGTGAGTATCAATCAAAAGTACCAAAAAGAACAAAGGTTATATTAAGTTAACCCTGTTTTTATTTTCCCCACCAGATAACGACTTTTACGTGTGCGATTTCAAGGGCCATTGCGTGGCCGTTTTCCAGGACGATGGCACATTCCTCTATCGCATTGGCAACGAGAAGGTCACCTGCTTCCCCAATGGCATCGATATATCGAATGCCGGGGACGTGCTCATTGGCGACTCGCACGGCAATCGCTTCCACGTCGCCTGCTACTCCCGTGAGGGCGCCCTCCAGTCCGAGTTCGAGTGTCCCCATGTCAAGGTGAGTGATTCTATATGATATTGGGAATGTTTAGTCGTAAATGGTGTATTAAATTGAATATAGAGCATAAGTTCACATCAATGTTAATGTTATTTCGAGTGCATCGATGTGCGGAGAGATGAGCTAAAAATGATTCTTTCGCAGGTTTCCCGCTGCTGCGGACTGAAAATCACATCCGAGGGCTATGTGGTGACGCTGGCCAAGAACAATCATCATGTTCTAGTCCTGAACACCCTCTATGTTCACTGATTGCAAATCAAAGCGCGCAACAATCGTCCATCAGTCGATATGAACAAATACAACTACAAATACTCGTCGGGCAAGATATATGGCTGTCGACGTCAGCAGCAGACAACCAGCTGCATCAGCAGCAATAACAGCAATAGCAACAGCAACATAAACCTCTTGGGAAGGATTCAGCCTCAACACTGCAATAGTAACAGCATCATCAGCAACATCAGCAACATGAGCAACATGAGCAACATGAGCAGCATAAGCAACATGAGCAACATAAGCAACATTAGCAACATTAGCAACATGAGCCACATTAGCAACATGAGCAATGGCAGCAACATCAATCAACAGTAATCGAAATGTTAAGCAAGAATCAACATCGTCGTGTTGAATGAATGAATGAATGAAATGAAAACAAAACAAGCTGCAATATCAACATTATTATTAACAGCAAAGCAACAATCCAGTTAGACGTATATATCTATACGAGATATATACGCGAAGGGGAAGAAAAATCTCGAAACACCAAAAAATCCTTTTTAACCACAAAAAATGTTGCCGTGTTATGAGCCACTGCAACTATATAAAAAAAACGAAAACGAAAACCAATAACAAATGATAAACAAAATGCAACAAATACTATTTTTGATCTCTAATTTAAAAACAATTAGCGCTACTACTAAAACAAACATCAACAAATCTAACAAAGAAAAACAAAAAATATTTTACTTAGTATAACGAATATAACAAACAAACAAAAAAAACCAAACAAACAAACAAAAAACAAAACAAAGAAAACAAAAGATAAGAACTTGGGATATTTTCAAAACGTTTTTTAAAAACTCTTAAATTGTTTTCAATTATGCTTTTTTCATTGAATTTATTTTCTTGTTAAAAATTGTCATTACACAACACACACACACAAACACACATCCATTACACACAACATACGCCACACTCACACAAACACTACTACTTTACATGTTACTTATTATCTATATAGACATATATATTGTTATATCGACCGATTAGCTTTTTTGTGCATACCCTTCCAGAATCTTTTTCTAAAAAACAAAACAAAAAAACGAAACACGCATATATATATCTACACCTAGTATACAACATCTATGTATATCTAGCAAAATGTGCAACTTTTGTGCACAGGTTTTTTGCTAACAAATAAGGAAGTAAATAATTTGTTGAGGGCGTCATCAGAGGTCGCGTACAGGCAATAATTATAGATGAAGATGAAATCTAAGTAGTTTATTTTGATTTCGAACTCTGAAACAAAAACACTAAGATAAAAAAAATTCAGAAAATAAAAAACTGTTTAGGTTTTTCCTTACGCTGCTTATATAAGGTGATATCTATTTATATATAAATCTATATGAATATATGAAAAACAAAACAAAACAAAAACTATATATATATCTTAAACATATATGTGAAATCCTATGACTATATGACTTTGCCATATAATATACAAAAAGCAGGATGAGAGCTAGGAGTAGGGAGTTAGGCATAGGGTTAGCGAGGGACGTAGGACGAATGGAGGCAAAACACACACATACACACCACTACACCACACGGGGCAGATATCCGCGTATATCCAGAAACCGACCCAGAGAATACATTCGATATGTATCAAACTAATGGCGTTCTTCACGCCACAGATCCAACAAGAACTACAGACAACAAAAACAACAAACTCAACATACAAATTATTCTGTAAGCTAACAAACCAAACAAAACGAATGCGAGTCCGCATTAGGCCAACAACTATAATAACTTAAACAGCAGCAGAGACGAGACAGCAGCAGCAGCAACAACAACAACAGCAACAACAAGAAGAAGAAAAAGCGTTAAGGAAAACCTACAAAGAAGAAAAAAGCGTATCTGTTAAGTTCTTATATACATTGTTAAAACCAAACAAATAACAAACAAACAAACGATATTCCTTTTGCTTATATACAAAACAAATGCAATACACGTGCATGTAATCGACATACACAGAAACACACATACACACCACAACAAAAACACACAGATAACATCCACACTCACGATGATTTATATAGACGATATATAGACAACCATTTAAGATGATATATGTACGGATACATGCAACATTTCTTTCCCGTTGTAATACAATATAAGGCTGGTTTACTCCCAAGACATTATTATTTATCTATATACAAAATAACATATAACATTTTTTAATTGTGTGAATTTTATGATGTGACGAAGATGAAACGATAACGATAGTTAGATGATCAGCGTTGAAGTGGCGTTTTATTTAGATGTGAAGTTGGACGAGAAAGCAAAGCGAAGCAAGCAACTTATTTTTTATAGGCTGTAACCACATTTATTATACATCTACACTTACACATACACACATACACATACATAAATACACCCATACATACTCACATACACAAAACAAACATATACATATACATATTATATACAACGAAACGAATCCTTTGTATTGTGAACAATATCCTGTTCGTTTTGTTTAAAACCATTCGATTCCTTTTCAATGTTTTAAACAACAGAAACTAATGTTAAACAACCTATAATTTGCATTTGTGTTTCACAATGCGCGCAGTAAAGTGACGAAAACTGTTTTAAATCTTGTCATTTTTTATTTTTATTTTTTACTTTTATTAATTTGTAATCCTAGTTTAAGTATATACACACAACACAAAAAAGAAAAAAGAAGAAAAGATAAAACCCATAAAAGAACGCGTTTACGTCAATGTTTATGTTAAATGTTAGTAGCCAGAGAAGAGAGAACGAATAATATATATATTAAACTTTGCTTAACAATAATTTACTACCATCGTTATACGAGTGTAGTTGTAATTATTTTTGTTTAGTTTTTACTTTGTTACGTGTGAGGCTACACAATTTCTGTACACATTAATTATAATTTAGTATAAGGGTAAACAACAACAACAACAACCTGTTAACAACTACGACAACCAATGTGAAACGCTTCTGATTATGTTATACCACTGAAATTATAAACATTATTATGATTAATACTATTTACCCCAAAGTTGTTGATGGTAGGTGAAGATGGTGAGGAGTGAGGAGGTCTTAGAATGAATGAGATAGATTGAGAGAATGAGATAGATCGATAGAGAGAGGGTAAAAAAAAATGCAATTTTTTTGTGAAACAATTTGGCTGTTGAAATATATAATTTTTAATTTAAATATGTTTTTGCATTTCGTTTATTTTAACTTAGGCCCCCCAGGCAAATGTTATATTATTGAATTGAATTTATATTGCGAAATCCCTTGGATTTCTGTTAGCTTTCCTCTTTTTTTTCGTTAGACCTTTCCTTTTCCATTCTCGCGAATACATATATAATATTATATATATATTTTAATTAACTACTACTGCATTAACTACGGAAGTATTAAGAGGAAACATTTTGCTAAAGGCAATCGGAGCACTCAAATGCAAAGTATACCAAAAGATTCGTTTTTAATTTTCTAATTATTTTCCTAATTGTATTTGTATTTTTACCTTTAACTTTTTAACGTCACTCTGCAATTTTATTGATTTTTAAGTTCATTTAATATTTTTCGTCTCGCTTTAGTCAACAGAATTTCTGTAAAAGAAAAAAGAAGAAACAAACAAAACACAAAAACCAAACTCGAAAACTGTCATAGAAAAACTATTAAAAAGAAAGGAAGAAACAAACAAAAATACCATTTTACATTTGTTTATAGTTTTTATGGAAAGCCTTAAAATAAAATTGTAATTCCACACGCTTTTATTTTTATAAACTAAAACTAAATCACAACATAAAGAGGAAAACATTTATATTATCTTAATTTTGTGTTTGTCTTTCATTTATTATTTCTCTCTCTGTTTGTTGTACCACAAAATGGAAAAAGTCAATTGTTGCTTTAAATCAAATTTTAAATTTTAATTTAAGTTCTATGTACGAAAATGATATTAAGTGAAACTGTATTTGATTTTTATGCTATGCATTGCGTTTAAGTAGATAAAAAAAAAAACAAAAACAAAAACAAAACAACAACTTTTCCACACCAAACACACACAAAACGAAAACAAAAAAACAAAACAAAACAAAAACTAAAACAAAAAACAACAAATTTATTTCCTATCGCATACAAATTTTTAAGTGAAAAACCAAATAAACATAAATGTGCTTAAGTTTAAATCAAATTTACAATTTAGTTGAGATTACGCAACTTAACGACGATAACATTTTACTAACTACGTATAAACTATAGGATTTCTAGCGAAAATATATATATATATTTACACACCTGTATATATTTGTATTATGTATACAGTTATGTACGTTTAGCGAATGGCCCAGTATGGTGGGGGCGTGGCCGGCAGAGGGGCGCTACTACCACTAGTCAGCGACTAAACTAACCTAAAACAAAACAGACCGAAATGAACAGCAAAACGCAAAAGAAAACGTAAACGGAACTAGAAAACCGAAGCAATAGGGGCGGAATATGGTGTGGACTTTATGCCATTTAACAACTAACAATTAACATTTAAACATTTAACGAACACCGACTGACGAGAATCGACCAAGGCCGCCCTCCCAGCCCCTTCTCCGCCCGACGCCACCCACACTGCGCTTTAATTTTCAAGGCCGAAAGCTGCAAGAAGCAATAAAAAAACAACCACAAATGAAAATGAGAACGAAAACGAAATGAAAATGAAAATGTAGGAAATCGTGTGAGGAATGAGATATTTTCTTAGTTGCTTACTTGTGTAAAATGTGTATAATGTGACAAAGTGAAAGCTTTCCACCTCAACTCTTTACATCTATATTATATATCTCTACGTATATCAAAATCACATTGTACTGTATTGAAGTATATATATACATATATATTTAATTTTCGATTCGTATTCCCTGTACTTTATGGTTTTAACTTTACTTTCATGTACTCAGCGAAAGTGAAACGACGAAGAAGATTCAAACAAAAATGTGTACAACTAATTAGGAAATACTTAACTTTACACAGAAAACAAACACCACACATGTTTCTCAATCACTTGATATATAGTTACTTTAATTCCTAATCGACACAAGCATATTATTAATATAGCTATGTATGCCTAAATCTAACCTAAGTCAAAAATTGGCAAGATCAAATCGATAAATCAAGCGAAAGGAAGCCGCCGCGAACCCTTTTAATAAAGATGCTGCCAAAGATTTTTTATACAATCGATGTGAAAATTTCAAGAAGATGAAAGCGAAAACCATTTAGATTTATTACAAACTAAAAATATGAAATATTGTCCATATTATTTGTACAATGATTATTATGATTATTATTTTATTAGTTTGGTCAAGTGTATTAATTTTGTTCTTACTTTTTTGTGGTCAAAATAAATGGAATGGAAAACAAAAGCGAGATATTTTTGAGACTTTTGCTCAAAAAAAAAAAAGTATAATAAAAACTGAGATGAGTGTTAAGCAGCGCTAAAACCGAAACTGAAATTATGTAACGATAACCGATAAACAATTAACGATATCTATGTCGATATCGCAGTATTTGGAGTTGGATTTGTTGAATAGTTTGTTCCTTGATGCGACGCTTAAATGAAAAGAAAAAAAACAAAAACAAATTTCGGGCGGATATAAGACATACATACGAGTATAACACTATACATATACGATATACATATTGAACGTGAAGATATATATATATATATAGAGTCGAGTATATATGTTTACAGGCAATCAAATCAGTGAAGGTCGATGGTTTAGTTAACTACACACAAAAACACACATACAGTTACACACTTACGAGCACACAATGCCTCCTGCTCCTGATCACCACCACCCACGCCAACCACGCATCAGTCACCACCCACAAACAGAAACACAAACACCCAGCCCCACCCCGCCCCCCTCATTTTTTGCCCAATTTTTGTAATTTGTGCGTCTTGTATCATACTTGCATTTAGTTAAATTCCGAGACAAGAGCAACAAGTAACATAAAACAAAAACAAAAACAAAACAAAAAAACAAAAACCCAAACAAACGCTTTATACATCAAATTATTTTAATATAAATGTATAACAAAACATATATCTATATATACATATACAAGCAGACATATACAAAACAAACAACAAATATATTACGTATTTTATTTAAAGCGAAAAACATTTTTTAAGGAGCTGTCTCTGTGCTCTCCAGAGAACTAATTCAAAATAAAGGAACTCAACCTATATAGACAGTCCCCAAATTAAAGAAAAACAAAAAGATAAGAAAAGGAGACAAAAACAAAAACAAAAACAAAAAAAAAACAAAACAAATTTACTAAATTATTTATACATGCGTACATATACTTACATATATGTAAAAACAATAATTGATAGAAACCAAAACAACAGAAATACAATCTAGTGTACGTCAATTTTTTGATGATATTTTTCGCCTTATTATAGACAAAACAAAGAACGATGATGAAGAGGGAACGAACGAAAATGAGAAACCAAATTCGAACTAAAGTTAGTTGAAAGCGAGCGTGGAGTTGTGTCTCGGCCTCGGCTTCCAGTAGGAAAAGAAAGCAAAAACCAAAATCTTAAAAACTTCAAAACCCAAAAAGAAGAAAACAAAAAACCAAACACTTTTTAAATAAAAGCAGAACAATTTTTTGGGATTTATTTGCGGGCGTAGGAAAGAGAAGAAATGATGATCACATGTCAAGTTGATAACAAATGAAAATATGAACACTAAACGACAAGCAATCAATTACCAAAAAAAAAAAAACAAGAATTATATATTATACGGATAAATCATTACTAACATTAAGCTGGAAGAGGGAAACTGAAGGAAAACCAACAAACAATATGTAATCAAAAGCAAGTTTACAATACACACACACAAACACATACACACACGACAAACTAACAACCAAAACATTATCAAAAAACCAAACTAGAAACTCAAAGCAAGCAAATCAATTAAACACGTTTCAAAATCGATCTAGCAATTCGACAACTAAAACACACATTTTAAATCTAAACAGAAGTATAGAGAAAGAGAAAACCTACAAGAACTAAACTTAACATAAAATCACTATTTGATTTGCCTGCTATGAAGGAGTAATAGACAAAACAAACAAGTTCCTCAAGTTTATGATTTATGATATATGTATATCGATTGTTTATCGCTTTATTTATTTTCGATTCTAGCAATATTGTGTAATATCTTAACTCATGAAACAATTGTTGATAACATTGAGTTGTGTTCAGCTTATGTGAATTATGTGAACGATATATATATATATATATATTAATATGTAGGTAAAATAATATAGAAAACCAGGGATTGCCGAGGAAATAATCTGGGAATTTGTACTCCACTTTACGTTGTAAAACTCCAGAAAATAAAAATGAAAAGAATTTGAATTAATTTACTTAAACTTTTGTTTTTCTTTGGTTTTTATTTATAATTTGTATTAGTTCGTTTTTAGAACCAGTTAAGCCTTATATCTTGCCCAAATCTCTGTTCAGATATTGCATTTAAGTCATCGACCATTTAATGCTTTTCGCTTGATCTTAATGTTTAGAAAATATATGTAGAAACCAAAATAAGAGGCTAAAAATGTATGAAAAATGAAACTCCCTGGTCGAGTTGTTGTGTTAAATTTGCGTACATATCACTGGGAATTATTTACACTATGCTACCAAAACAAAAACCAAAAAAGATGGAAATGAAAAATGAAAAAAACCAAAAAAAAAAAAAAAAAAGAAGATGATGGATTTTTTGCATAATGTTTACACTTTATGCTGATATTTATACACCATAATAGGGATTGGTTTTTCGATTTGGTTTTACACCTATGGTTTTCTTCGATCGATTGTTGCTCACCTTTTTTTGTCAGTGTGTGTCTTGTGCGTGCGATTAATGAGAGTGTAGTGTTTTTTGAATATATATATCTAAGCGCATATGTCTTATAGAGGAAACCACACAGAAACTAAAACTATAGTGCCATGATTCATGATAAAGAAAGCGAAAAGCGGAAACCGAAAAACGAAAAATGGAAAAAAAAAATTGTTTATTGATGTGCTGTAACATTTAGTGAGTCCTTTTTTGACAAACCAAACAAAACGAAATATATAATAATAACAAATATATATACATACATATTTACTAGTTTATAGCGAACCAAAAACAAAAACAAAAACAAAAACAAAAAACCAAAACAAAACCAACTTAGAAACAACAAATTGCAATACAAAGATGAAAAACGAAAAGAAGTTAAACCGAAATATGAATAAAAGCTTTTCGCGTTTGGGGAAAAGAAAAAGGATCGAAAAGGATGTGAAAGGGAGCTAAGCGGCAGGATACCAATATGAAAACAGAAGCAATTAGAAAGCTTTTATTTTTCTAGAATTTTAAAACCAAAAAACCGAACAACAAGGAAACCAGAAACTAAGCTAATGAACAAGTAAAACCAACTTCCTAATTTCTCTCAGCGCAAAAAACCAAAACAAAAGCAAGAAAATTAAATTAAACACACTAACTAGTAGCATATGAAATGGCATTCTGGATACCAAACACGATTTGGGTATCACTTTACTAGATTTAGAAATATAGAGCAATAATAACATAGCAACTGGGAATGCCGATTAAAACAATTTCAAAACCGTGTCCTCTGTCTGTGGGGTTGTTTTAAGGAAATTGGAAAATATGGAAAGGCAAATGGGTAGAGGAAAAGCGAAAATGAGAAAAACCAACATTTTTATGTGTAGCGAATATTATGGAAAACAAAATTTACACGACTAACAATAACACAACAATTATACATAGCTCGATAATAAT